TTCTATTCTTTTCTTGGCTCTTCCCATTAGAATTGTCTTCCTTTTATCTCTCCTCTCTCCTTCTCTTGCCCTTCTCTTCTCCTGTTCCCCTTTAAATGACAAAAACACGAGAAAGGAAGAACAAGAGAGGAATGGAGGCCCTTTTCCTGAATTCTCCTGTTGCAATGAATAAGGAAAAGAGCATAGGAGATAAGGAAGGGAATTGTGGGCGATGGAACGGGTGTCCTTTTTGATAGTTTTCTGCATCTTCAAGGAAGAAAAAGGACACCCGCCCAAGAAGGAAAAGTAACATAAGAGATAGGGAGGAAATTGAAAAGCTCCTCTCTTTACCTAGTCATTTCCTGTCCTCTCTTCTTATTTGTTGTTTTTCTTATTCGCTTCAAAAAGCAAAATAACAAAATAAGGGAAAGGCGATTTCCTGAAGAGGAAGAAGGGCGCCTACCTGTGAATAGCAAGGTTGATTTTTTCTAATTAGGGAGAGACTTGCCCCGCCTGAGCCTCCCTGGCCTGCTTGTTGTGGCCACATTCCGGTACAGTTGTGCTTCCAGAAAAATGGCATCCTTGTTATCTCCTCTCACTTCCCTTTCCCTTCTCTCCTTCTGTTTCCTTCTGACTGATAAACCACAAGACAGGAACTTGTATGATAAGGCAGTGGAAGGGTAAGCAGAGGGTGACTCCTGGCGCGTGGACCGGTCCATACTTCATCATACCCCTCCTCTCGGCCTATCTCTTCTGTTCCTTTCCTTACCCTTCTCCTTCTCATAGTTCTTCCTTTTTGTTTTCTTATTTCGAAAAGAAAGATGGCAGGGAGAGATAAGGAAGAGAGGATAGATAAAGAGTGAGTGCCATCTTCTCTGCGCCTTGTTTTGTCTCTCCCTCTTCTCTATTCATCTCACTTCTATTCTTTTCTTTGCTCTTCCCATTAACAATGCAATCCTTTTGTCTCTCCTCTCTCCTTCTCTCTCCCTTCTCTTCTCCTGTTCCCCTTTAAATGACAAAAACGCAAGAAAGGAAGAACAAGAGGGGAATGGAGGCCATGTTCCTTTCTTTTCCAATGGATGGGGAAAGTGAGCGGGGTTGGCTCCTTGTCCGTAGACCCTCCCCACGCTGCAGCAAATCCCTCCTCTCGCCCTATCGCCTCTGTTCTTTTCCTTGTTCCCAAACGGAAAAAGAAAATGGGTTCCTTTACATGTTCATTGTTCTTCCTTTTGTTTTTTTATTTAAAAGGGAAAGATAAGAAAGAGAGGAAAGAAGAAAACGAGCACCATCTTCTCTTTGCCTGATTTTGCACCTCCCTCTCCTGTCTTCATTTCTCTTCCATGATTTTCATTGCTCTTCCCATGAAAATTGTTTCCTTTTGATCTCTCCTCTCTCCTTTCTCTCTCCCTTCTCTTCTCTTGTTCTCTTTTGAATCTCAAAATCACACCAAAGGAAGCTTCTTTTCCTTATTGAATGAAAAAGAAAAAGAAGAAAAGAGATAGGTAAAGACACTGAAGAGCTCCACTGCCTATTGTTTCATTCCTTTCCTCTCTTTCTATGTGTTGTTTTCCTTGTCGTTTCAGAAAGCTAGCAAAATAAGGGCAAGGGGGCTTCCTGAAGAGGAGAGAGGGCACCTATTTTTTAATTATAGAGGGAAAAGCGAGAGACAAGGAAGGGACAGATGATAGATAAAGAAGAGTGCTATCCGTCTCCTTGTTTATTGTGTCTTCTCTTCTTTTCAGTGCCCCTCCAGAAAATTCAAATGGCCTCCTTGTTGTCTCTCCTCTCTCGCTTCTCTTGCCCTTCTCTCCTTCTGTTACCTTTTAACTAATATAACACAAGAAAGGAACTTGTATGATAAAGCAGTGGAAGGGTAAGCAGAGAGTGACTCCTTGCGCGTGGACCTTGCCCATACTTCATCATATCCCTCTTTTCGGCCTGTCTCTTCTGCTCTTTTCCTTACCCTTCTCCTTTTCAAGTTCTTCCTTTTTCGTTTTTCTGTTTCGAAAAGAAAGAGGGAAGGGAGAGAGAAGGGAGAGAGGATAGATAAAGAAGAGTGCCATTTTCTTTGCGCCTTGTTTTGTCTCTCCATCTTCTTTGTTCATCTCTCTTTTCTATTCTTTTCTTGGCTCTTCCCATTAAAATTGTCTTCCTTTTATCTCTCCTCTCTCCTTCTCTTTCCCTTCTCTTCTCCTGTTCCCCTTTAAATGACAAAAACACAAGAAAGGAAGAACAAGAGGGGAATGGAGGCCCTTTTCCTGTATTCTCCTGTTGCAATGAATACAGAAAAGAGCATAGGAGATAAGGAAGGGAATTGAGGAGCTCCTTTCGCTACTTTCTTATGCCCTTTCCTTTGTATCTACCACACAAAAACACCACTCTCAGCTTCCAAGAATACTCTCGTGGAGACGCATTGGTTAGTCTAAAAACCCGAGTCTCAGCTTCCAAATAGACCCTATTTAAGCCACACACCCCACCCCCCCCCCCCCCCCATGGTATGGTCAGGTAGGGGGGGGGGGGCCGACTGTGAGCACACCCTCGGCAAAACCCGTGTGTTGGGAGTGTTGCGCCTTCGGTTGAGGGAGCACGCCCTCGGGAAAGCCCATGTGTGTGAGGCGTTTATCCCCCCCCCGCCCCCTCCAGGTCTACGGTCTCTAACCCTAAGCCCTAAACCCTTTCAAACCCTAAGCCCTAAACCCTACACCAACCCTAAACCCTAAACCCTAAAACCAACCCCCAAGCACACCACAGGGGGGGGGGGTTAACCCTAAACCCTAAACCCTTTCAAACCCTAAACTCTAAACCCTAAACCCTGAACCCTAAACCAACCCTAAGCCCTAAACCCTAAAACCAACCCCCAACCACAACCACACCACAGGGGGGGGGGGGGGGTTAACCCTAAAACCCTTTCAAACCCTAAACACTAAACCCGAAACCCTAAACCGTAAACAACCCGAACCCTAAAACCAACCCCAACCACACCACAGGGGGGGGGGGGGTTCCAGACCATGGGTGGGGGGGGGGGGGGGGGGCCGGGGAGCACTGGACCATATATAGGGCCCTAATTCCCACATTCCCAATTAAGAGCCAGGCGGACTTCCCAAGCGGCCCTCGGGGTTTAGGGTTTAGGGTTTAAGTTTAGGGTTTAGGGTTTAGGGTTTAGGGTTTAGGGTTTAGGGTTTAGGGTTTAGGGTTTGCAGATTCCCATTCTGGCACGGTGCCTTATGCTCCCTGAACTAGGACCTAGACTAGGCCCTTATTTCCCGGTTTAGGTTCCCCGTTCGAGGCCTTAAGGCAAAAAAAGCACCCTTTCATGTTGGGCTACTCTTGGGTCTAGGAAACCCTTAGCCCGACATCACACGCCCCCTAGACTCTGAGCCACCTGCCAGGCTCACGGCCATCACCGTCCTACGGGACCTGGCTCCAGGGACAAAGCCCGACAGGAGCCATGTGGGGTTGAAGGGTGCAGAGTCTGATATTGCGAGTTGTTCTAGCGGGGTAAGGGTCTTAACAATTTTATGAATCCTGACGGAAACGGGAACCTACGTGCCTGCTCAACTGCCATTTCTGGCAGGGTCTAGCTTGCTGTTCTATGGTGAGTGTACAGGTGAATAATATTTTTTGGGTGTCTAGTGTATACGGGTAGTTCCCAAGATGAGGGTCCTTCTTTTGGGGTTACCTGGGGTCAGGATGTGTTGAACGGTTGTTGGTGAGAGTGTGTATGGTTCCTTGTTCCGGGGATGCTAGCGGCCTCATACTTGGATGTTCATGGGTACCTGCAAGGGGGGGTTCGAAGGTTAGAACCAATTTGCTGCTATCACTCAGAACCCTACAAAGAAGTACCCACAGGAGCCTCCAAGTACAGTAAGCTCCAGAAAGTCGGAACATGGGTTTAGGATCCCTAAGCCCTAAACCCTAAACCCTAAACCCTAAACCCTAAGGATGATTAGAGCAGGGTTTCCCTTTCGGATACCTTAATTGGGGCATGGGGATCAAGGGCGTTGAAAGCCTTTTTGGAGTTTACCATATGAATCCGTATGGTCCTCATGAGCCCATGTCCAGTCGAACCTTCAGCTTGGTAGCCCAGTGGTACCTTTAGGGTTTAGGGTTTAGGGTTTAGGGTTTAGGTTCAGGGTTTAGGGTCCTTTACCCCTTTCTGTTTGGTCCTGGGTTCCCTTCTAAGGTAACCAACCCCAAAAAGGGTGCCTTGTTTGGGTTCTGGGTTCCCTTCCGAAGTAAACAACCCAAAACAAGGTGCCCTTATTCTAACATGGTTACTGGGCTGCCAAGTCAAGCGTCGGGACCCGGTTGTCTCACCTTCATGCGAAGTCCATGCCATGAACATGCCAAGAAAGCCCTGTCCGTGAAGCCCTGAATGCTGAAATCTAAGACCGACCCGGTGCAGATGCTACTTTCAGCTTGGCGGTGGTGCCCTAAGCACCCATGAGCACCCCAAACCCTAAACCCCTAAACCCCAAACGCCCTAAAGCCTGAACCTTAACCCCCTAAAACCTGAACCCCTACCCCCTAAACCCTAAACCCTAAACCCTTGAAACCCGAGAAACCCTAAATCCGTGGTCTCAGACCAAGAGTTGCTGATGCGCGCAGGAAGCAGAAGCTGACTCGCTGCCAGCCGGGTCCCTGCCGCGTAGTTTGTACATTGTGGGGGCTTACGGTTTTTGGGTTTGGGGTTTAGGGGTTTAGGGCTCCGATGAGTCCAACTCTGGTGCAACTCCACCCTGCAGATGCACCAACCACACGTTAGAGACTTAAGGAACTCGGCACTGAGGGTGGTATCTTCCGAGGTGTGCGGTGCGTAATGCTCCCCTTTTTGGGACGAGTGAAACCCTACTTGGAGGATCATTTCCGATGAGCAGGGTTACAAGCAGGGCAATTGTAGTTCTAGTTGGCGAAAACCTGTTTTAAGGAACCGGCAAGCTCATGTATAAGGACCCCTGAACCGGTTTAGGGTTTAGGGTTTAGGGTTTAGGGTTTAGGGTTTAGGGTTTAGGGTTTAGGTGTCAGCTAAGTGCGGTGCTGACACTGGCAGGCACCGCAACGCTAAGAGCGCGACGCACCGGTCCGCTTTTCCACAGACAAAAGACATCTCATGCGCCTTGATCGAGCGGCGTTTCGAAAGCGGTGTGACTGGCTGGGCAAAGGGAACCCTGTACACTACACAAATGAACGTTCCCAAGGTTGCCTCATATCTCCAGGTTTACACTGGTCAAAAGTCTTCCCCCCTCTGTTTGGCACTTGTAGCCACCCGCTACGGAAAGGCAACCTAATGCCCTTCTTCATCCGTTGCCACCATTCCTCGCAGTTCATGGGTTTCGTCAGCGGGTCCGCGATCTGGTCGCCCGTCGGGATCCAGAGCAGGGGGATCTTGGCATGCCAGCGTTCGACCAGGAGTTCCATTCGGAGCGCGGTGAGGTCTATCGCCAGACGACGATCACTTGGCACTCGGGGTACTCCGGTTTTCTGAAGATGGTCGAAGAGGGATTTGCAGTCGGTCAGGCAGAGTAGAGGCCAACGGCTCCGTGCTTCTTCCACCTTCACCAGGTCCCCCTTCAGGAGGGTCGCAAACAGGGACCGGGTGTACTGGCCCCCTTCCAGTCCTTCGACCCCGGCCATAGTCTCTGCGCCAAAGGTACTCCTGCAGACCCGTTTGCAGGATTGGCTCCTCCACTCCAGCATCCCACCGATTGCCAGGCATCCACTAGCCAGCTTCTCATCGAACAGCATGATCATGTGGCCGATCTGGGAGGCGAGCTTTGACCCGGCCCGTTTGGGTTTTCTAGGCCGGTCAGGGCCGAAGGGTCCCCCGATGTTCCCGAGGCGGACTTCCTCGGGAGTTAGCTGGAACCCAGCCTCAGCCACCTCGAGCTCTGCGTTGGCCCAGGCGGCGTCGTGGTAGACGACGAACACCGCGCGATCCAGATCCACCGGCGGGAGGTTGATGCCCTCATCCTTGTGGAGGTTGGCGCGGTCGACGATGGTGTTGGTGAAGCGTACGTCGCCAACGGTTGGGGCCCTTTGCAATTGTTGAGCAAGCGCCACGCTGCACTGAAGGTCGGGCCGGCTCTGTGTGGCCAACCAGCTCAAGGCCCCCACTAAAGACCGGTTGTCGATGATCTGTTCCTCCTCAGCGGGGTCTTCGGCACGTTGGTCTTTGCGAACATCAACTCGAAACAGCCTGCCCTCGACAAAGCTCGTCTGGGAAAGCTTGACCCCTTCAGGGCCATTCCGGACAAACGACCCCACGTAGTCAAACTCGTCCTCTTCCCAACCATCCACCGGAAAAAGTTCGCTGAGGCGAGCTTGTAGGAGCCGATTGAGCTTCTTGTCCGCAATCACCAGGATGTCGTCGACGTGGATGGCCAGGTAGGCGACAGGTTCCCCTTTGAAGTCCTTGGGCACAAGCATGAACACGCAAGGGTCCAAGGGACAGGGCTTTAGCACGTAGTCATTCCCGTCGACGGCAAAGACCTCGTTGAGGAGCACGTTGCAGAGCCTCTCATACCAGCGGCGGGGGCTTTCTGATAGCCCAAAGATCCCCTTCCGAATCTTCACCAGTTGGTCAGGATGTAGGCCATCGACTCCGCCCCGGGGTTGTTTCATCCACAAGTCCCTCTGCAGCTCCAAACCGTTGAGGAAGGCTGCTTGAACGTCGCCAGCAGCTGCCGTCCAGCGCCGGGAAGCACATATCTGCAGGAGGGCCATCAGTGAGGAACGTGCCACCGTCGGGGAGTCGACGGGGGCGTCGGAGGTGAGGACATCTGGGTCTTGGTGCCCGGCTACAACTAACCTCGCCTTCGGCTTCCATGGCAAATCTGGATTTGCCCGCCGCTTACCGAGGTTTTTATCACGGTAAGCGTACCTCGAATTGAGGATACGCTCACCGGGCACTGAGCGGCGGATGAGCTCGCTGTCGCTGAGGGATAGCACTTCGATCGCGTTGTGGTCCAGGTGTTCCTTCCACTGTTTGGCTTCAGCGGCACGAAACTCTTCTCGTTTGGACTCCGGGATCGAGTTCCACGGCAACTCTTTCTCCATCTGCTTTTCCCGGGAGCGTCTTGTCTTGGCCTGCTTGAGCATCATGGCTTCGCGAGGAGGATCAGGGGGACCTTTTCGGCGATGGCGTTTCATCACCTGGTACGGAGGGGGCCCTTCATGAACACGTCGTCGACCACGAGGTGGATGCCCATCCGTTCTTTCATCATCGTCATCGGGGTCCATCATCTCCTCATCTGTAGGCACGACGTGACTGCCCACGTCTGAAATGCCGCCCTCCGGAGCCTCTCCGATATCAAGGTCGGTCTGGGCCGGGAACTCTTCGTCCGTCTCCAGCTCGGTGTTCAGGAGGCGGTCGAGGTCCTCTTTGGCAGCCTTGAAGGAAAAAGCCTGGCCGAGCTCCTCTGGAGTCGACAGACGGAGATGTTCGGGAGCGCATAGGAAGCATCGCCCACCACGAGTCACCCACAGGTTGTTGCCCTCCGGTCCAATCACTGTGCCCGGGCCGAGCCAGCTCCCCCGTTTTGCGTTCTTCGCCTTCCTGTAGAAGAACACCTGTTCGCCCGGCTCCGGGGCCCGATCTTGAACGCGTGCGCGGCCCGCCAAGGCCCTCCGCACCCGATCATCTGTTTGGACAACGTGGAAGGCCGCCCTTGCCGCCGTTCGAATTGCCACCTCTCTAGCGTGCTTGTCGTCGATGATGGGTTCATCGCCCGGGCGGTTTGCATGGGGTCCGTCCAGTAAGTCCTCGGGCAAGTTTGGTGTCGAGCCGAAGACGTGTTGGACAGGACTGTACCCCCCGGACCGGGCCAATCCGTTCTTCGCCGAGGAAACGGCGGCGATTGCCAAATGCATGTCTCCTTTCTGCACGGACATCTCGTCGACGATGCGAGCAAAGATGGCCTTCCAGGTACCACCGTGGCGTTCGACGAAACCAGCTTGCCAGTGTGCCTGGCCGGCTGCATTTTTGATCTTCGTGCCGGTCCAGTCGCTGATCTTGGCGAAGGCTTTCTCCAATCCATTCTCGAGGTCGACGGCCACCACCGTAGGTGTCCCAAACACATTAAGCCAATGCTCGCAGAAAGCTTTTTCGAGGTGCGGCGTGTCCTTTCGGGCAACCGGTATCACTATGTGGTAGGCCGAGGAGAAGTCCACAACGGATAGCAACTGATGCTTGACACCCTCCGAGTCGTGCACATAGATCAAATCGGCCCCGACCACATCGTTGAACCTCAGGCAGCTTCCGATCTTGGCGGGTTTTGCCGCAGCCGTGGCTTTGGTGCGGCGGCACGTCTCGCAAGTGAGAGAGCGGGCCGCCTTCAGGACAGCGCGGCTAGCACCAGCCAACCTCAGGTGCCGAACAAAGTCGGCAGTGGATGGGTGGCCCAAGTTTTGGTGTAGCCGGCGGAGACTTGAAGCGATATGGCCAGGGACAGAAGGAGGGAACTTGATGGCTCGAGCCCCTCGCTCCAACGGTTGGTCGCGTCCTTCGTCACCCGGAGGAAGCACCCCTTCCGCATAGACCGTTTTTCCAGCTCTGTCACCCTTGGACTCGGCAGCAACGGGGTCGTCGTCCACGCCTTCGGACCCGGAGGTATTCGTGCCACTGACATTCTCCAGCTCGTCGTCGATGTTGGTCTCCTTTCCCGTCACCATGGAAATCACGGTGTCCCCGATCATCACCTCGTGCACCCCCGGCTCTTCTTCATGTTGAATCACACGGATGAGCTCTTCTTGATTTTCGCCAACATCGTGGGTGACCTTGTAGCCGGCCTCGCACCATCCGGAGGTCATTTGTTCCCACACCTCGTCTTCCTCGAGGGCACGCTGGAATATCACTGCCCTCCTGCTGCGGAGTTGGGTCTCGATGGCCTCCATCATGTCCTCGTAGATGTTGGTGTCGGTCCATTCTTCTCGTACATGTATCCATAGTTCGCCGGGCTCCTCGCGCATTACCGCCGCCTCGACCAAGCCAAAGGAAGCGTCCTCGGGATGGTCGTTGTCCAAGAGATCATCAAGTGTAATGGGCTCGGCGATGTTGACCGTTTGGGGACAAAACTCCGCCAGTCTACAGGTAGCAGAGATTCCACCAACCTCCAGGAGGGCGTTGCTGGGGGACATCCTCTCCGGCAGAGTATCGCAGCAGACGCCTGTGAAGACGGAGATCGCGGTAGCCAGCAGCACGCTGAGGGCGGCCGCCTTCCTCCGAACCTTCTTCCTTTGGCTTCGAAGCGGGGCCTCCCTTGTCTCATGGAGTGCGTTCTCCTGCTCGACCGTGGTCCTCATAGCGCGGATCTCGGCACGGGAAGGGGTCGCAAAACCAAGCTCCTTTAGCGTCCTCCTCTCGGCCTTTGTCGCATCCGGGAAGCTCCTGGCGGTATAGGCCGTGATCGACCAACGATTCCCGGTCCACGGCTGGGATGCGTGTCGAAGGCGAGGGTCAAACTCGCACAGCTGGTCCTTGTTGTCAATGACGATGCCCTCGACCTCATCGGCATGGGGTCCGCGCCGCCACACTCCGCCTCCTGGTTGTTCCAGCCACAACCCTCCGCCTTCGTACTCACCGACGCACAGGGTGTAGTTTCGGCTCCCCTTCAGGTTGTTTTTGTCGGTGTGCATCTCGGAGGGTACATTGTGTGAGATACTCAGCGAGGTCCAACTTCGGCGGTCTCGGTCTGCGCGGCGGCCGTCTCCATGTTCCCAATCGTCGCCGAGGAACGCGTTCACATACCTCAGGAGAAGCGGCCATTTTAGCGTCTTCCGGGTTATCCCTTTGAAGGCGCCGTGGGCGAAGTAGCCGAAGGCTCCGCGATCGACTGGTTCTCTTCCATGGGTGAGCACGCGCGGCCGTTGACCACCATGAAGATCACTGAAGTTATACTTCTCGAGGATGGCCAGGAGGGTCTCGGTGCGAAAATCTTCATCACGAAGTCCCTGGGCCGCCAAACGCTCTCCAGCATGATCCCCGTCCTTTGCCTCGAGCTGAATCGTCATGAAGGCGTCCAGTTCATCAGCGGGGACGGTTGCCTCCTCAAAAGTGTCTGCGAAAACCGATGACCACTTTGGGGAGGGTTCGTGGTGCGTGACGTGTGCTGGCACTGCGCCGGCGGGTCCCTCCGAATTGCTTGCCTCGTCCATCACGGATGGAGGCCACAAGAGTCCTTCAGCGTCGCCAATCGAGCCTCCAGCGCTTGAATTTCTGACATCACCTCGGGGGTCACGTCCTGGGTCATGCGCTCCTTCTCGTTCTCTTCCCTCTGCCTGGTCCTGCGGCCTGATGACGACGTCTCGGGGGTCGTTGCGGCCAGACGCGTCACCTCGGGCCTCACAAGGGGTGCTGTTGTCGTTGTGGTAGAGGATATCTGATGCTGCACGTACCCCTCGCCCAACAGCGCCCAGGACGCGGCCGAGCAGCCCGTTTCGCTCATCGGCGGAGGAGGGACCATCGCGTTCTTCTCGGGGTCGAGGTAGTAGGGGTTCGGCTCCTCCTTGTTCCTTGGTCCTGTGTCGGCGCCGCCACACCACGAACCGCTTGAGGTCGGGGTGCATGTTCGTCCCGTTGACCTTCTCCTCCTCCGATGCCCACGCCCCGTAGTTCTCCGGGATGTCCGCGTACGATGACCCTTTGAAGCGACCCAGGGTCATCACCGTCTCGTTGGGCGCCACCGCGTCCCTGATCTTCAGCATGAGCGCGCCCTTCGTGTCCTTCTCCGAGAACTCGACTTCCACCCGCGCCGCTTCCAGCCGAAGTTCCGCCAGCGACATGGAAGAGAGCCCCTTCGGGAGTTGCAGGCCCTCGTCTGTAGGGATCGGGCTGTTCACCAGGATGGTCCGCAACTCGGGGCACGTCCACTTGGGGCTGACCGCCAGGCCTCGCTTGGTGCACTCCGCCAGCAGCTGCGCCTTCGACATCTTCCATAGCGGCGTCAGAGTGCTCATCGCAGGGGGAAGGGTTCCAGGTCGGAGTCGGGCGTTGACCCGAAGCTCGATTGAACACACTGCGGCCAATCCACAAGGTTGAATACCCACTTGCCGTCTCTCTAGATCTCCAATCTTCGGTGATGACATTCAGAGTGCACTGAGTGACGCACGCAATCCCCCAGGACTCACGCAAGCTACCCAAGGCATCCAGCAGCAACGTGCGTTGAAGAGTGTGAGTGGTCTGCCAGCTTCTGGGGTCGAAGAAGTTCTTTCGGGGAGTTACGTGGACTCTAACCAGGCGGTCGGGGCACTCAATCCAGAAATCACTCGAAAGCTTTGTACTACTCCACCAATCGTAAAAGGCATCGGTGTTGAGGGAATCCGCAACAAGCATGTCCTTTATGAAGGGGCCTAGCTTCTTGCCATAGAACAGCACGGGCGGGGAGCAAGGGCTAGTTGGGCAACTTCCCGGTGCGACCATGTATACTTCACGAGGCGCAAGGATCGACACTCCGTGCCCTTCCCACTGTCGGGGAAGCATCTTCACATCCGGCTCACGGCCGTTCCCGTGGCCAACACGAATTGCAGGGTGGCCGCTAGCGGTAGCCGCTAGCTCGATCTCCCCACTGTCGATCGCCTTGAAGTTGGCGGTGTTGCTGCCGAGGTCCAGCACCAATCCCAATCGAGAAAGTGCGGGTTTCGAAAGGAGAAGGGGAAGCTCGCCGTGGATCACCGCCGCCTTAATGCCGACCCACCTCCCTTGTATCGGGACCAGGATCACCGCCGCATAGGTGGACTCGTAGACCCGGCTGGCCGCCCCGAACTTGAAGGCTTCTTTCTCGTAGACGAAATCAACGTCCCGTCCCTTGCCCTTGATGTGGTCGAGGTAGCGCTGAAGCCATGTCGTCCCAACCACCGACTTCGAACAGGCCGAATCAAGGATGGCGAGGAGGTCCAGGTTGTTCCCGTGGATGAGTTCCATGATGTCATTCGTGACGTGGATGGTCTGGGCCCCGGCCTTGTCACATCTTTGTGTTTCGGGCATACCGAATCTCTGTGCCAGTGGCCCTTTTGTCCGCACGCCGAGCAGTGTGACCGCGATTTCGCCAAACGGATCATCTCCTCTGCGGCCTTCTTGGCTGCGGGTGGGTCACCAGTGGTCACCACGCCCCTGGACTTCGTCACCTCCTTATACCGTGCCTTTGCTGTCATGTAGCTCACGTACAGGGCCTCGCCGTCGATGTCGGGGTCGTCGATGGAGGGTGGCTCGTCCTCTGAGCTGTGGCCTTCGTCGTCCCTGCCGTACTCCTCGGTCTGGTGCACCGTCTGGGCACGTCTCGGATCTCGGTTTTCGAAATGGCGGGGCTTTTCCCAAGGCTTCCGCATGGAACGATCCAAGATGATCGCCGCCTGCTGGAGGGCCTTCAGCTCGTACCGATTCCCAACGCTCGCCAGCAGGCTGACCTCCGTCTGCTCATCGAGGTTGGCCCTGTCCACGAAGAGCCACGCGTTGGCCACATCTGGTAGTCGGCACCCACACTCGGTGACCCTCGCAAGGAGACGGTTGAACTCGGCCGCGTAGTCCCGGAAGGTCTGTTGGGGCTTCCGCTTCAACTTTCTGAACAGGTCACTCAGCGACCTTCCCACCAGCGTGACCTCCACGTCCAGATAGTGTTGGCGCACCCAGTCCTTCAGGTGCTCTACGCCAGCAGACGTAGCCAGGCAGCCAACGTCCAGGGACTCCGCGTTCACCCAAGCAGACCCTTGCAGGTGTTGGTAGAGAACAAGGGCCTGTTGGTCGGTCGAGAGCTTCGTCATCCGCTGCCATGCATCGACCTGCCGAAGGTAGCTACGAGCCGAAGACCCGATCTCTGCCATGTCGCCGGCCTCCCCGCTGAAAGTGGGAATCAGCAGTTTCTCAGAGGGCCCCTTGCCTGCTCCAGCGCCGTTATGCCCAGGGCTTATCGGTGTGGAAGTGGTTCGGGCCGTCGAGGTAGTTCCGGTTCGGGTAGTAGTGCTCGGAGGGGATGTCGAAGTCACCGAGGGCCGCGCCGCGTCGTCCGCGCCGCTGTTCCGCTGCCACCAGTCGTTCCACTGCCGCCATTCTTCACTCGTCCATTGCCGCCGCGCTTGGCTGGTGGTAGTGCTGTAGGACTCCCCAGTAGCACCTCGGCGCCACCATCTATCACTCTCAGGCCACCAGCCACCAGAACCAGTGGAGTGGTGCCCGTCGGAGGCACGGTCTCCTTCTTCTGCTCTTTGGTCACCGCTGTCTGTGTTCGGGCCGGTCGCGGTGTCCCCGGGAGAGGTGCGTCCCCGCCAATCTCCTGATTGGCCTGCCACGAAATCACCACTCACTTCACCGTCGGCCCGGCGGTCAGAAGGATCGTCCGGGTAGGTCTCTGCTGTCGGTCGGGACGACATCCCACCGGTGGCCGCCGTCTCGCTCATCTCTGCATCCCGGGAGAAGGCTGCTTCGCTGCTCTGCCGCCGCCAATCAGCCCACGGATCATCGTAGGGGGCGGCCATCACAAGCTATTGGGCTCACTCTAAAGGCTCGGGAACTGCACAGAGCTCCGCTACCAGTGTCAGCTAAGTGCGGTGCTGACACTGGCAGGCACCGCAACGCTAAGAGCGCGACGCACCGGTCCGCTTTTCCACAGACAAAAGACATCTCATGCGCCTTGATCGAGCGGCGTTTCGAAAGCGGTGTGACTGGCTGGGCAAAGGGAACCCTGTACACTACACAAATGAACGTTCCCAAGGTTGCCTCATATCTCCAGGTTTACATTAGGGTTTAGGGTTTAGGGTTTAGGGTTAGTCACAGCTTTCACGAAAGCCCGCCGCGGCCTTTGACACACCTGAAGGAGAATTCGGAGAGAACGCGCCTTTGTAACTCCCAAGGCTTTGCCCCCAACCCTAAACCCTAAACCTTATAAACCCTAAACCCTAAATCCTAAACCCTAAACCCTAAACCCCAAACCCTAAACCCTAAACCCTAAACCCTAAACCCTAAACCTTGCGCTTGCCCTGCCGCCCCGAGGCTGTACGAGCAAATGTTCCGGCGCATCTTCCAGAGCTCCAGCCCCGGCTGTTCATCCTCCAGTCTTAGGGGTTGAGGGTTTGGGGTTTAGGGCTAGGGTTTAGGGTTTAGGGTTTAGGGTTTAGGGTTTAGGGTTTAGGGTTTAGGGTTTAGGGTTTAGGGGTTAGGGTTTAGGGTTTAGGGTTTGTGGTTTAGGGCTACTGAGGGCTTGTGCAGGTCGTTCCTGCTGATTTTGGGACAAGTTGTGCGCGCTCCAAACTCTGCTAATTCGTCGTAGCCTTCTCTCCCACTTTTCGTTCAGGGATGAGTTAGCGGACACAATGCGCTGACATGTAGTGCTGCCGCATCCAACAGAGCGTGCGAGAGATCGCGGGATGGAAGCTCAGAACTCAGAACCCCGAGGTTACCAAGCTCTGAAATCGCATGACAGCACGACCTTTCTCGAGCCGGGCACTCTGCGCGTGTCTTTGTTCTGGATTGGGGATGGTTGAGCCCTACCCCTAAACCCTAAACCCTAAACCCTAGACCCTAGACCCTAAACCCTAAACCCTCCGTAGGCCACTTCCTCCTCCCCATGCACACGGGTCCCTCCCTAACTGCCCCCCCCTAAGCCCTGAACCGTGAAGAGCCGAACATCCAGGATGGACTGATTACAGCCCCTTACTATCGGATTCTTGGGTAGATTTTTGACATTTGTATTAAGAAAATGCTAGGACCCAGAAGGGTCTAGGGATGCAGCCCCTTATCGTTGTCTTGGGTAGCTTTTCTCGAAGAAAATGCTGCACACAGTAGGGTTTAGGGGCCCTCAGAGGCAAACCCAAAACGGGCACCCTTTTTTATGCCTGGGTTGATCTTGGTCCCCTAAACCCTAAGACCCTAAAGCCCTACAGCACAAACAGGCTCTGAGTTCTTAAGTTGTAAGGCAAAGCCTAAACAGGGTCAGCATCAACCCCCTGGCTCTTGCTAGGGAACTTAGATGTAGTTGCCAGGGTTTGGGGTTTAGGGTTTGGGGTTTGGGGTTTAGGGTTTGGGATGAAGGAAAATAATGAGAAGTATCCTTATCCTGGCAACTTCGCTTAAGTTCAGTGATCCTGCGCCCTATGCCCAAAGACTTCCTGTTGGTTAGCAGGGAATGAGGGAATGAGGTACGCCATATCCCCCTACATACCCTTTAAGGGTTTTATAGGGTCATGGGGTACCTAAACACTAAACCTTAAACCCTAAATCCTCAAACCTACTAACCAACAGTAAGAAGAAAGGTTGCACAAGCAGGGCGTGACCACGGCAGTGGCTGAGCTCGCCTACGAAGCCCTAGGCGCTGGAGGGAGACACTAGGGTTTAGGGTTTAGGGTTTAGGACCCTAAAAACCCAGTAAGCCCCTATAAACTCTACATAAGCCCTACATAGGCCCTGCACAAGCCCTACATAGGCCCTACATAAGCCCTACAGAAGCCCTACATAAGCCCTATGAACCCTATAAGCCCTATAAGCCCTAAGCCCTAAAAAACCCAACCGCCTTAGGGTTCAGGATTCCAGGGGTGTTGAAGGTCAACCCACCAACCTCGAGTTAAGCTGTATACAGATTATGTATGTGTATATACATATATGTATATACACATGTGCAGAGGGTTTGGGGTTTAGGGTTCAGGGTTTAGGGTCTAGGGTTTAGGGTTTAGGGTTTAGGGTTTAGGGAGTGAGGCTACTTATGGGAGGGTACCCGTATACTATTTTTTGTCTAGCAGCCCAGGTGAGCCCTAAACCCTAGACCCTAAGCCCTAAACCCTGAACCCTACACCCTTTAACCCTAAACCCTAAACCCTAAAGAGCGATTATTGCCGCAGCCGACTGCCTTGCGAAGCCAGGCCGCAACAGCCGAGCGATCAAGACGCACGAGCCGCGGCCTCACAATCGTCCGTCGCCCCCCCAACTAACTTCCCCCACCCCCCCCCCAACCGGTTTAGGGTTTATGGTTTAGGGTTTAGGGTTTAGGGCCCACCGCCCCCCGCCCCCAAACCCCTCACCAAATTCTGTAAATCGGTCCGGCCCGAAGCATATGTAGAAGGGTGTACTTGGAGGAAGGGAAGGATGGAGGTGGGTTACCCGCAAACCTCGGAGCCCAAATCCTAAGACCGACACCTTCATCCCTCAACCCTGATTCTCGGCTAGTGCTTGAACTTGTTAAGGTTGTTGGCCTGTTGGCCTGAAGCCTCAAACCTTTCCCCCCCCAACCCTAAACCCGAAACCCTAAACCCCGAGCCATCCCCACTTCTGGAGCCTAAACCCTTAATCCTATACCCTAAACCCTAAACCCTAAACCCTAAACCCTAAACCCTACAAGAACCCCACTCCCTAAACTGCACAGGGGACGCTGCTCCGTCTCCTTGTGTCTTCCTTGGGTTTAAAGGAGCCCTGTGAGAGCCATTCCTCCTAAAGCCCTGCAAGCCCCAAAGCCTGAACTCCCCCCCCAAACCTTAAACCCTATAAACCCTGTAAACCCTATAAGCCCTATAAGCCCTATAAGCCCTATAAACCCTATAAACCCGAAACACCCTATAAGCCCTGTAAACCCTATAAACCCTATAAACCCTATAAACCCTATAAACCCTATAAACCCTATAAACCCCATAAACCCTATAAGCCCTATAAGCCCTATAAACCCTAAACCTCAACCCTACCCGTTGCGGAGGCTGACCTCCTTCGTCGCCTCACTGAATGTCAAGGAGTTGGTGGAGCCGATGGAGAAGCTGGTCAAGCCTGGCGCCTAAGGGGCGTTTTTACTTATGGGATTTCTAGGGTTTCTAGGGTTTCCAATGTTACTAGTGTTACTAGGGTTTATAGGGTTTGAAGGGTTTGTAGGGTTTATAGGGTTTTCAGGGTTTATGGGGTTTTGGGGCTCTGCGCACTCGCACGACGCTGCCTGCGGCGCCTGTGTCGTTCCTGTTCAGGTCGCACCTACTGCTGGTGCTTTCATACCCAGTGGTACCCTTTCCCGTGTTTTTGGATCAAGGTTCCCGTGTAAAGTAAGAAGACCTGCTTTACACTCGACAGTGCTTCGCCGACATGTTCCGCCACAAGTGGAGAATTAGTGCGTCCCATACATCAAACGTTTCTGTAACGTGGGCAACAAGTGGGTTCATGTGTATACACGTATCTCATATATAAATATACATAAATGAATATATATATATATATATATATATATATATCGACATGCACGGTGCTGTACCGTACTGTCATGTAGTGGATGCATGTTCGCATGCATGCATGCTTGTAATATATATATATATATAGGTATATACATATATACATACATATATGTAAATGTATATATGCATGTATGAATATATGTATACATGTATTATTTATTTATTTTATGCATTTCTGTATTTATGTATTAGTATATGTATTAGTATATGCGTAGTAGATGTCTGCTAGATCATGCCAACGAAGCGGGACCCCAGAGAAGTGTGCCGATGCTTTTAGGGTTTGGGTTTAGGGTTTAGGATTTATAGTTAGAGTTTGGGTTTTGGGTTTGGGGTTTGGGGTTTAGGGTTTAGGGTTTAGGGTTAGGGGTAAGGGTTTAGACTCCCAGCCGCTCCCACGCTCCAAAGGCTCGTCCAATCCGGGCAGCTGCTTCTCCTGGAGGCCAGAAAGCACCCGAAACCCTAAACCCTAAACCCTAAACCCTAAACCCTAAACCCTAAACCCTAAACCCTAAACCCTAAACCCTAAACCCTAAACCCTAAACCCTAAACCCTAAACCCTAAACCCTAGGCCGGCACTTCTATAAGCAGTCATCTCCTTGATCTGCAGCACAGGAGATCAAGGAAGGCGGCATTCGATTCCGCTACCCCTCCATGCCGGGCTCTCGGCCTTTACCATATGAACATGGGAGTTTTTTGTTAGGGTTTAGGGTTTAGGGTTTAGGGTTTAGGGTTTAGGGTTTAGGGTTTAGGGTTTAGGGTTTAGGGTTTAGGGTTTAGGGTTTCCTGGCGTTTCCCTAAAGCATACCCCTCAAACCTCCTCAGCCCCAAAACCCTGCGTATATTCAGGCTGCCCGAAAAAGAAGGGGGGGTAGGGCCGGCATCTCCCGTGCCTGCTGTTAATATGGCCCTTATATCCCCTGACAAACCTTCAAAAGGGTCCCTAAACCTTAAACCCTCAACCCTCAACCCTCAACCCTAAACCCTAAACCCTAAACCTACAGGGTCCACGGTGCAACTCCCCGAGGCAGGATTTCCTGGCGGCGCACTGCGCCTGGAATCACCTCTTGGAGGGCAAGGGCTTGCCGACGTGGCTGGTGCAGGAGCCGATATGATCCTGTGGTTTAGGAGGGTTGAGGAATCCTAGGGTTTAGGGTTTAGGGTTTAGGGTTTAGTTTTGTTTTTGTTCATGGGGCTTGGGGTTTTTTAGGGCTTGGGGCTCCCGATTCCCGACAAGAGCGCGAGTCCACGGCGCGCTCGGAGTATGCACTCCCTGCGGAGCCAGGTGGTTGTGTAGATGCCAGTACTTACTTTTTGGGGGTTATTATCGGAAAATTTTCGAATAATTGAATAGGGTTTTGGGGGTCACTACAGCATAATTTTTCAAGGGACCCTAAGGGAGTACCATTGGCTATTGTTATAGGGGCCTGAATAATCAGAATAGGGGTTTTTGGGGGTTATCATAGTAGTATTTCGACCCTAAGGGAGTACTATTAGGAGTTGTTCCGACCCCGTCTCCTCAAAGAGCTGCTGCGTGCCAGAAGATCTCGGGCACTTCCGGCTATCAGCTTCAGAGGGTTTGATACTCGAGTGTACTCGAGAAGCAGACATTTCAACAATTAGCCAGAAAGCTCCCCTAAACCCTAAACCCTGAACCCTAAACCCTAAACCCTGAACCCTAAACCCGAAAAACCCTAAACCCCAAGGCCTAAACCCTAAAGCCTGGCAAAGAGCTGGTCGTGAACTTTAGCTTAGAATCTTCCTGTCCAAGATGGGCCCGTTGCGCTTGCTGGTGACGGCACCCCCTGCGACGGGCAAGACGACGTTGTGCTCCAGCGAAACTTGGCTTAGGGTTTAGGGTTTAAGGGTTTAAGGGTTTGAGGGTTTAAGGGTTTAAGGGTTTAAGGGTTTAGGGGTTTAAGGGTTTAAGGGTTTAAGGGTTTAGGGGTTTAGGGGTTTAGGGGTTTAGGGTTTAAGGGTTTAGATTGAAACTTATAAGCTTTGAGATCCGCTGGCGTCAAACAAAGCAGGGCAGCTTTCTAGTGGTCATTGATTCTTATGGTTGTCCGGAGGTCGCTGGGGGGCATTCCTAAACCCTAAACCCTAAACCCTAAACCCTAAGCCCTAAGACAGGTGTACAAGCGCCTGGCAGCGCAGAAGGACTTGTGCCGCTTGGCTACCAGAGGCTGCAAAATGCTGCAAAACCAGCTGTCATGGTCTGTGAGTGACCGTGTGCGAGAACCTTAAACTCTAAACCCTGAACCCTGAATCAGCCTGAACCCTGAACCCTGAACCCTAAACCCTAAACCCTAAACCCTAAACCCTAAACCCTTCCGGTAGGTATGCTGGATGGTTTCCTCACGATGGAGCGAAGGGAACGGGGAAAGCGCGTTGGCTTCGACTGCGTCTCCCTGGACCTGAGCAGCCGCGCCGTCCTGGCTGATGTCGCCGGGCCCAACACGGGCTACATGGTCAGCGACTTGCCGGTTTAGGGTTTGGGGTTTAGGGTTCAGGGTTTGGGGTTTAGAGTTTAGTGTTTAGGGTTTCGTGCACATCAGATATGGGGGTTTACGATACTAGGGGGTACCTCATGGTGGTAAGGGGATCCTACTATTTGGGGGTCTATATTTGGGGGTCCCTTACTATTGTAAACCCCCATATCTTTCTGCGAGCTGAGGGTTAGCTTTCGCAGCTAAGGCAAGTTCCACGTACAAGTCGAGGAGTTCGAGCGCTTCGCTCTCCCTGTCCTGGACCGTGTGCTTGCCCGGAAGAGTGGAAGCAACATGGTCTTTGTGTTCGATGAGATCGGGAAGATGGAGCTTTTCAGCAAGGACTTCGTGGCCAGGATGCGGAGGCTCCTGAAAAGCCCGGACCCTAACCTGCACGTGCTGGGGACCGTGGCCATCGGTGGGCCTGGGTTCATCTCCCAGAGCAAGCGGCTTCCGGGGGTGGAGGTGAAGCAGGGCTTAGATATTTCTGTTATTTGGTGAGTGTATAATCAGGTTCCCTTTTTAATATTGGTGAGTGTATAGATTGGGTGTCCTTCTGGGGATGCAAGAAATAAAAACCCTACTTCAGGTGGTGGAGATCAGCGTGCAAAACCGGGATGAGAAGGTCGGGGAGCTCGCCGCCCGCTTCCAGGAGGCCTGCGCAGGTGACGCAGGACCTTCCCCCGGACCTTCTTCCTCCGGACCTTCCTCCGGACCTTCCTCCGGACCTTCCTCCGGACCTTCAGGAGGAAATCCTACCAAGGGCCGGTGGCGTCCCAAGGCCAAGCTGACCCCAGGGCCGGGTGCAGAGTTTCAGCCCCCAACGCGGCCGACGCAGCCTTCATCGGCAACAGGCGACGGCAGCGCGGCTTGCGTTGCCATGGGAAAAGCGGCATATGGGCAATTGGGCCGAGGCGACGTCCCGGAATCCTCGGGCGACGCGCTTGGCGTGGAAGGACTGGAGGGCCCTGTTGATGATGCCTCGTGTGGCTTCGACCTGTGGTGGTCCAGTGGTACCCTTTTCACTTTTTTAGGTTCAAGGTTGCTGTTTTAAAGTAACCAGCCCCAAAAAAGGGTACCCTCATCTTAAGATGGTTACCGGACTACCAAGGACCACACCGGGATCGTTGTCCAGGGTCAGCTGCTCCTTTGTGGTAAGAACAACAGAGGGCAGTGCGGCCACCGGAGCAGTGGCACTCGGGGTGACAAGGCTGGGCCGGACTTCTCCGAGGACCTTCTCTGCCCTCAGGTCCCGCAAGGTCTGAAAGCCTCGGTGAAGCAAGTCGCCTGTGGCGGCGAGCATACCCTTGTTCTCCTTGAGACAGGCGAGGTGCTCTCTTGCGGTAGCAATGCTGCAGGACAGTTGGGCCTAGGGCAGGGCACGCCGAAGATGTCCGCCGGCCTGAGCCATGTCAACTTGCCACCCGCAGATTCAGTGAGTGCAGGCTTCTGCCACAGCGCAGCCATCTGCAATGATCGGTTGTACATGTGGGGCGACTGCAGCCAGGGCCAGCTTGGCCAGGGCCGAAGGCAAAAGCAGGTGCCAGAACCGCAGCTTCTTGACGTCGGGGGTCCAGTGCGGGCCATGGCGCTGGGGCGCTGGCATTCTCTAGTCCTGAGCCTTGGAACTGTCTGGGCTTTTGGTTGGGGTCGCTTCGGTGTCTTAGCACAAGGGAAAGACATGGACAATTGCTACAGCCCGGTGAAGGTTGAGGGTTTGCCGGCTCCCATCCACATTCTCGCATCTGGAGCAGTCCACTGCGGCGCAGTTTGTGGACCCAGCCGGCAGTGTTACATGTGGGGTCGAGGAACCCTGGGACGCTTAGGCCTGGGCTCGGAGGCGAACATCGCCACCCCAAGACCTGTTCCAGGCTTGAAGGACGTCACATCCCTTGTGCTGGGAGGCGACTTCTCAGCAGCCAAGGCAGCCGGCGAGTGGTGGATGTGGGGGAAAAACGAGGAGGGCCAGCTTGGACAGGGTGATGCCAGTCGCGCGAACGCCTGGCAGCCAATCAGGGCCCCAGCCCTGTCAGGCTTCAGGCGCGTTGCCCTCGGCGACTGTCATGCGCTGGCCTTCCGGTAGCGGAGGCAGCGATGTGTAGCTGCTCTGCAGGGCGTGGTAGGGTGATATTTTGGGGTTGTTCGCCACATGACGGGCTCGCATTTTCAAGGAGCCCAGGGTTTCGAACAACCCCCACAGTCTTCAGAAAGGCGCAAAGACTCGCCCCGTCGCGCGGATGATTTACACGTTGTGAACATTTTCCAGCAATCAGTGCTGCTGCCTGTGATTTCGACAGGTGCGCTTGGCGTGCATCAAGAGAGCGGCGCAGCATAGCATCATTTTTATTCTTGTTATTATGATCATTATCATTACTATTATTGTTGTTATAATTATGATTATCATCACTACTATTATTGTTATTATAATTATGATTATTATTGTTATTCTCATCATTATGATTTTATGATGACTCTGTTTATTTGTTGGCAACAGCTTCCCGAGCCACACAAGCAGCACGAGAGCATCAGGAGCTCCTCCCAGCACATCCAAGTACTGCTTGGCTCCACCACCCTGGCTTAGGGTTTAGGGTTTAGGGGGGTTTAGGGGGTTTAGGGGGTTTAGGGGGTTTAGGGGGTTTAGGGGGTTTAGGGGGTTTAGGATTGAGCTGCCCTCAGGAGAATGCCGCCGGGAACGTCTCAGAAGCTGTGACGGGCTGCGCCAAGTTCTTCTGCCTTCAGGCTCATTGCCTCCGCTTGGGCACAAACCGGTAGGTTGACCTGAGCCGAGGCATCGTACCCAAACCCCGACCCTGCGAACTCCCAAATCCCGTGAGCTAAACCCGAAACCCTAAACCCGAATCCTGAAACCCTAAACCCTAAACCTCAAACCCCAAACCCTAAACCCTAAACCCTAAACCTCAACCGCAGGCCGAAGGTAAAGAGCCCCTTCGGAAAGAGATGCTGCTCGAGCTCAGGGAAGGGTGCCACGGCTTTGTTATGCTGTTGTTCGGGTTTGCAAGGGTTCAGGGCTTCCTCACGGAGTAATTAGTCGTGCCGGTTGGTTTTTTTCGAGCGGAGGGGGGAGGGTATGGATTTATCTTTGTTCAGCGAAGGTCGCATAGGGCGTAGAGGCCTGCCTGTTGGATTTGTTGGGCGCGAGGGCCGTTACCCCTATCCCTTAAACTCTAAACCTTAAAGCCAGGCGCTAGCCGCTAGCCCCGTCAATTGTAGGGCTCATAAACCCTAAACTGATGATGTTCCCCGTTATACTAACAGTCCTTAATAGGGATTATCGTACCCCCTATTATAATCGCAATGAAGGACTGTTTGTTCAAGGGGGAACATCCCAACCCTAAGCCCTAGGCCCTTGTATGCTCTAAAGGGCATGTTACGTGCAGAGGTTGGCCTTCTTGCTGCGCACCATGTGCAAGGCCAGTCCCTTTAAGAACCCCAAAGCCTACTTGTTCGTTTAGGGTTCAGGGTTCAGGGTTCAGGGTTCAGGGTTTAGGGTTTAGGGTTTCGGGTAGGTTATAAGTTGTTACCTAGACCATTTTAGGACTCTTGGCAGTTCAGCCTACAAACCAAGTAACTCGATTTCGGGTTGTTAAGGTAGCACTTACTGCAGACAGAACTTAGCATATCAGGTTTGTACAATATAGGGGTCGAATAATTACTAATCGCTTTCCTATGGCCCCTATATGATTACACTAGAATATCTCAAAAACCCCTACTTTAATTCTTCAGGCCCCTATACGAGTTTACTAGAACATCCCCCAAAAACCCTGTTGTAATTCTTCAGGCCCCTAAACCCCCCTGTGTTCGGCCTACTGTTCGGCCTACTTGGGGGTTTGTGCGCCCGATCCTGACAGGCGGGAAATGCGCTGGCGATCCGCTGCCTTCTTGGCGTGGCAGTTGCCCAAGTGTGGGTAAGCCAGGGTTTAGGGTTTAGCGGTACTTGGGGGGTCATCAGGGTTTAGGGTTTAGGGCGATTTTTGTTTTTCAGGGTGTATGGTTTAGGGTTATTCAGCTGCACGATACCCACACTCCAGGACCTGCCTGTTAGCCCTAAACCTTGAACCCTAAACCCTAAACCCTAAACCCTAAACCCATGCACCTTGGTGTGCCCAGGCCGCTGCAGGTGGCCGACAGCAGCTCATGGCCCCTTGGTCCTTTTTCAGACCGATGATTGGGATTTTAGGGTTTAGAGTTTAGGGCTTCTACAAGTCTACTGCTGCTGCATGCGCGTGTGGCGGTCATCCTTGACGGAGATGCTTGCAAAGCACCCTCACATGAAGCCCAACATGAACCCCCGTGTCAATCCCCAAAGCCTAAATCCTATAATTCAAAATCTGCACCCGACCCCCTAAACCCTCAACCCTAAACCCTAAACCCTAAACCCTGAACCCTGAACCCTGAACCCTGAACCCTGAACCGCAACGCCGAAGCCCTTTAATGAACCGCTCCGTGCAGGCGATGCCATCGGCCTCAGGCACGAGCCCGAAGCATCTGGCGGTTCTTTATGACTTCTATGTTTTGGGGGCTCCCTAAACGCTGAACCCCAAACCCCTAAACAAACTAAACCCTAAACCCTAAACCCTAAACCCTAAACCCTAAACCCTAAACCCTAAACCCTAAACCCTAAACCCTAAACCCTAAACCCTAAACCCTAAACCTCAACCCGTAGGGTTTCGGGACCCAAAGTGCGAGAAAAACAAAAACAACCCGCTCTCTGCGCAGTTGCTGCGGAGCCACCTGTGGGTGCGGTTTAGGGTAAAGATGCTCTAGCCGCTATAGCATAGGATTTATAGGGTTTATAGGATACGGGGTTATAGGGTTTATATAGGGGGTGGTAGGGTTTATAGGGTGAGAGGAGCCACAGAGGGGGTACAGGGTGTAAGGGTCTCGGAGATGCGCGGAGGTGTGAACCAAACGGGCCTCCACTTTGCAGCGGGGCACGGACACAAGGAGCCGGTCTCAAGCCACGGCCCTGAGACGCCAAGCAATCTCAGTGCGTTCCCTCGCAATGATTGGGTAGGTCCTGGCGATAGTTTAGGGTTTAGGATTAGGGTTTAGGGTTTAGGGTTTAGGGTCTACCATGCTTCAGGACGTGGTGGACATGCTCTTGGAGCTGGCGCCAGAGCCCATGCAGCTCTGTGTGGGTCCCCGGCTGCGCAGGAGAGCCGGATCATCTCGGTTTCAGGATTTAGGGTTTAGGGTTTAGGGTTTAAGGTTTAGGGTTTAGGGTTGAGGGTTTAGGGTTGAGGGTTTAAGGTTTAGGGTTTAGGGCTAGGGCCTAGGGCTTAGGGGGACAGGAAGCATGAAGCTCGGTTTGCTCAGACGGCCTAGCAAAGCTCCCTGGGCGCTGGGAAGGGCCGGCGAGCCCTTCTGCGTCTCTGAGTTTGCAGCTCCACACAAGCTCCACGTGAGCTCGCAGCCCATATAGATGGGTGGCTGATCCCTTTTGGGGTACCCAAATATTCGGTGCCGTATGATAGTAGGATCCAGTTTCGAAGTTTCGAAATTAGGGGTACCTTATTGGGGGGTCCTTACTAATTATCAAGGGGAATCCTGTAGTATCGTAAACCCCCATCTTCAAGGGGCCGTGCGAGCACCCCCGCACCTCTAAGCTTCAACAGAGGCCGTCACTTCGGGGGCTGAGCACGTTCTCATGGCTGGCAACGTTTACCCTGGTTCGGAAGGGTCAAGGGTTCAAACAGTCAGCCCCGACTTGTGTGGTTTAGGGTTTAGGGTTTAGGGGTAGGGTTTAGGGTTTAGGGTTTAGGGTTTAGGGTTTAGGGTTTAGGGTTTAGGGTTTAGGGTTTAGGGTTTAGGGTTTGAAACCCAGGGTGAAACTGGAGAAGGCATCAGCCCATCTGGTATTTTCGGCGACTGTGCAAACGGCGTGTCCGGTCGGCTGCCAACAGGCAAGCCTTGAATGACACTTAACCTGTTCCCTGAGCCCTACACCTACCATAAACCCTAGGGCTCCAAGTATACAAACACTACCTACATTGGGTTCTAAAGTCTGTAAATAATCCCTACTTTGGGCTATTTGGAGCCATAGGGATACACCCTATATCATACCTTTGTGGGATCCCCCAGGCCAGGCGGTCAACGCGGATGGCATGGCGCCCCTGCACTGCGCAGCGAGGGATGGCCACGAGGAGCGCAAGAGGTTTAGGGTTCTGGGTTTAGGGTTCTGGGTTTAGGGTTTAGGGTTTATACAGGGTTTAGGGTTCGGAGTTTAGGGTTTAGGATCTCTAGCCACAAAGCCAACATCCGGCGGAAAGATTGTAAACCTCTTTGTAGGCCGCTTACGGAACCTAGACAAAAATAGGTTTCTAGGTTGTTAAGACAGGGCTTGAGTTTAGGGGGACTACAGTACCCAGACCCTTGGAGCCTGCACTGCAGTCGCTTCGTTGGGGTGCTTAAACTTTAAACCCTAAACCCGTTTAGGGTTTAGGGTTTAGGGTTTAGGGTTTAGGGTTTAGGGTTTAGGGTTTAGGGTTTAGGGTTAAGTACGTTTTCAAGTAAACCCAGTTTTAACCTCCAACCTGGGCTGATTTATCTCATAGCGATCACCTCGCCAGGGCTTTAGGGGCTTACAGGGTTTAGGACATCCTCCTCTTGACCCTACCCCTGGACCCCCCCCCCCCCCCCAAACCCGAAGCTTCTTGAACCCTAAACCCTGGGCCCTAAACCCTGAACTCCTTGAACCCTAAACCCTGGACCCTAAACCCCTTAAACCCTAAAGCCTGGACCCAAAACTCTAGAACCCTAAAGCCTGGACCCAAAACCCTAAACTCCTTGAACCCTAGACCCTGGACCCCAACCCCTAAACCCCTTGAACCCTAAACCCTGGACCCAAAACCCTAAACTCCTTGAACCCTAAACCCTGGACCCTAAACCCTAAACCCCTTGAACCAAAAGCCCTGGACCCTAAACCCTAAAACTCCTTGAACCCTAAACCCTGGACCGTACAAACCCCTTGAGCCCTAAACCCTAAACCCTAAACCCTAAACCCTAAACCCTAAACCCTAAACCCTAAACCCTAAACCCTAAACCCTAAACCCTAAACCCCTTGCCCTGGCAGGCAACAGCACAAGCTCTGTTGAAGCGCTCTCCGAATGGCTTGGCCTTGTCGGGGTCTCACTGCTTTCAGGTCTTGGAAGGTTTCCACGCGAAATTCTTCCCGAGGCAATTCTCCCAGAAACCCTAAAGCCGAAACCCTAAACCCTAAACCCTAAACCCCAAACCCCAAACCCAAAACCCCAAACCCCAAACCCTAACCTTCCCCCACAAAGAATTACACATAGAAATAAGGCTGTCCTTGTTGCGAAAGGCTACAGATGCCGCAGAAGAACAGCTCCACCCTCCGGCCTCCGTCTCGGAACTTTGTGGTGCTTTACTGTAACTTTAGATCCTTAGCCTTTTAGGGTCTAGGGTCTAGGGTCTAGGGTTTAGGGTTTAGGGTTTAGGGTTTAGGGGTTTCTTAATGTGGCAGCTAAAAGTCTAATTAATAGCCACCCTCCGGTCTCCGTCTCGGATGCCTCACGCATCGTAGCGCAATTGCCTGGGAGCTCGTGGTCTGTTCTCCGGGGTTTAGGGTTTAGGGTGTAGGGTTTCGGGTTTAGGGTTTAGGGCAGTTTAGCGTTTAGGGTTTAGGGCTCATGGTGGTTTCATGAACACACCGCCAGATGCTTCAAGGCCGCTTCACATCGCCGCCAAGCATGGGCATGTCGCCTGCGGCTCAGCAGATCCAGAGCATCCGAATTGTCCGCTCGCTTGAAGGAGATTAGGTATGTACCTATTTTAGGGTTTAGGTTTGAGGGTTTCGGGTTTAGGGTTTCCATAATCTTCTTTAATTCAATGTCGCGCAGCTCCAGAGTCCAGGGGGCGCTCTTGGTCAGGCTGTCGTGAAGTGCTTCCTGGAGTTTGCACCGAACCCAACAGCAAGGATCCTAGTCTGCTGCAGTCAGCGCTTGCTGCGTAATGCCTGGCGCGTTGAATGCTTTGAATGTCGTGAGAACACCATCAGTGTCGGTGTGTTGCCATTGGGCCTTGGCAATCCGCAAGGGCTTTGTCTTGGGAATATGGGGCACAGCGACTCTCCCTCACAAACTGAGGCTCTCTGTGCTGAGTCCAACAGCGCCGGCAACACCGCATTGCACTTTGCGGCAGCGGCAGGTTCACTGTCTGGAAGCAGGGTTTTTTCGACGTATATAGTCACCAAGTTTGGTTGATTTAGAAGGGGCTTCAGGGGATGAGGGCTCAATACCTCCCACAGCAGGATCAGGTGCAGTGTATTGCTGAATTTTGTAGAGGTTTCAAGCCCTCTAAGTCCTAAGTCAGTTTAGTTGTGGGCAATGTGGGCTGGGACAGCCTAAGCCCTAAACCCTAGCACCGTTCTCCGTTCGAATGCCAAGGACACACGGTGTGCGTGCAAGCCATCCTCACTCATGCTGGGCGGGGCACACAGATTGTGGCGTTTTTGAGCAACTTGTTGTTTTCCTATGTGAAACCCTAAACCCTAAACCTGACCTAAACCCCAGGCAGTTTCAGTCAGCATCTCTCATGATGGCATAGTTCCATACAGCAGACTTAACGAGTTTTTGTTCTTGCACCCCGCCTCGAGAACACCAAACCCTGCTTTTCAACTTGTTGTAGGAAACAAATCGAGAACAGACTCCTTGTAGGATCATTTTATGTGACATACCACAACAATGCTTGCATGTTCATGAGTACTTCTAGCTGTGGTTGTAAGTACCCTAAGTCAAGTTATAGCCCGATAGAGCTATTATGACCCTGCGTGTAACACTACTTCAAAGCACGCAAGAACCTCCTAAGTAGGTCTGGGGTTCTTCACGCAGAGCCTGCAGTTGAGTTTAGGGTCTGGGGTTTAGGGCACTGGCCCACTTTTAAGGCCGCCCGTGGGGCTGCCCGACCGCGCTCTGCTTCTGCTGACCGCAGTGAACAGGTTTGACCGGCAGACCGCCCGACACTCAGAGCTTCCCTTGGTAGCCCAGTGGTGCCCTTTTTAATGATGGTAAGCACTCTATGGGTTGTCTTCATGTCTTACAATCATGCTGCACATGCTCGCTGTTTATTGCGATGATACTGAGATGAGGATGGTAAATCCTAAACCCTAGACCCTAGACCCTAAACCCTAAACCCTAAACCCTCAACCCGAAACCCTAAACCCTAAACCATAAACCCTAAGCCCTAAACCCTAGACCCTAAACCCTGAACCCTAAACCCTAATCCCTAAACCCTAAACCCTAAACCCTAAACCCTAAACCCTACCCCCTAAACCCTATAAACCCTAACCCTGAACCATAAGCTCTTGTGAAGCGGTCTAATCGCCCCTGCAGAGGCCCTCCACATGGCGGCCGACCGAGGCGAGAATGCCGCTGCAGGGAGCTGAGCTCAAACCCTAAGTCCTAAACCCTAAACCCTAAACCCTAAACCCTAAACCCTACCAAACTGGCGGCTGTCGGATTCCCGCGCTGATTGCAGTACTTCCCTGCAACGAGAGCCAGGACGCCGCCAATCCATCATACTCATGCTCACAATAACAATAACATGGGGGGTTTACGAAGACAGTGGGCGCGCCCAATAGAGATCCCCAAATAGTAAAATCCAATGATACTAGGGATCCCAATAAGGTACCCCTATTTTCGGAACCCCCATATCAGTAGGTGCTGTCGGAAATCTGCGAAATCCAGGCCTGAGCATGGGCAGCTTGGAGTTGTGTACGAAGTCGCAAATGGGCCGCTTTCTAATTCATGAGAACTTTTCTCGGGTCGGGTGCCCTATACATTATTTTACTGCGAACATCCCCACCTCCAGGGTCTCTGGGGTTGGGCAATGCAGGAAGGTTGGGCACTTCAGACAGTTTCTGGGTTGTGCACTCCAGGTTGAGCACTCCAGGGTTGGGCACTCCAGGGTTGGGCACTCCAGGGAGTCTTTCTGGGGTTGTGCACTGCAGGGAGTCTTTGACGTTGGGCACTCCAGAAATTTCTGCGTTGGGCTCCAGGCACTAGCGAGACTCTGGGGAGACTCCAGGAGTCTGGGTTGGGCTCCAGGCCGTCTCTGGTTGGGCACTCCAGGGAGTCTGTGGGGTTGGGCACTCCAGGGAAGGTGTCTGGGGTAGGGCACTTCAGAAACTCTGCGGTTGGGCACTCTAGAGACTCTGAAAGACTCTAAATTTGAGGAGTTTCTGGTTGGGCACTCCAGGAAGCAAGTCTTTGGGGTTGGGCACTCAGGCAGACCCTGGGGTTGGGCACTCCAAAAATCTGGGAACAACAAAGGGCCTGAATCATGGTAGGTGCCCAAGAAAGATCCTTATTTCGGAAACCCGGCATGGTCCTCGCTTCAGGCGCCCCTTCCCTCAGCCCCTGAACCCCTGAACCCGAAACCTCTCAACCCTAAGCCCCTAGACCCTAAGTCCCTAAACTTTAAACCTCAATCCTGAACCTAAACCTAAACCCCATCTAAGAATCTTGAACCCAAACCTTAGAGCCAAAAAACCTGAAACCCCTAGACCTGTTGCGCCCCTACACCCTAAAAACCCTTGTGCGCTGGCCCCAGGTCGAGCTGCTGTTGCAGATGGCTGCGGACAAGGGTGCGCTGCTGGCTATGCGGCGGTCCGAGGAATGCGGGCTTTAGGGGTTTAGAATGTAGGGGTTAGGGGTTTAGGTTTAGGCGTCTAGGGGTTTAGGGGTTTAGGGGTTTAGGGTGTAGGGTTTAGGGCTGCACTTCTCCAGCGGAGCGAGAAGTTTGAAGTTTAGAGCCCGGCCTATGGGTCTTTATTATGATTCGGAGCATGCATGTCAGCAGTATGTAGTTGCTGAGAAACATGCTTGCATTCATTGTGTTTCGGACCTCCTGGAGACCCCGGGGCATCCTTGGGGAGGATGTAAAGGACGATGATGATCATGATGAGGAGGGAGGAGGAGGGTGTTGATGATGGGGATGACGGTGTTAATGAAGATGGCGGTGTTCATGATGATATTTGTCCTGATTTCAATGATGGCGCGCATGATGATGTTCATGACGGTGTTCAGACGACAATATGAATGACGACGACAGTGAAGACTTGATGACGGTGCCGACGACGAGGAGGATGATAATTGTCATGATGCAGTGATGCAGTGATGGCGAGGACGACGATGATGAGGAGGATGTGATTGTGGTGATGGTGACGACGCTGATGATGGTGATCGGGTTCATGATGGTGTTGGTGATGAGTTGTTGTTGGAGGAGGGGAGGAGACCTATGACGACAAAGAATAATGATTTTTTCTGCCGCGTGCTCTGCAGTGTGTTGAAGCCAAACCCGGTTAAACCCTCAACCCTGAACCCGAAACTTCGAACCCTAAACCCTAAACCCTACACCCTACACCCTACACCCTAAACCCCTAAACCCTAAACCCTCCATGGCATCCCCAGGTCCGACAAACTGGGACAGACCGCCCTCCACCTGGCCTCCGAGAAGGGACACGGCGCGGTGGCGCCGGCCCCAGAACGTTTGTAGGGTGTTCAGGAGGTTTAGGCTTTATAGTGTTTTCAGGCTTTTTGTTCGGGGCTTTGGGGTTCTTTGTTTTTTTTGTTTGTTTTTTTTCATGGTTTCTTGGGGTTTTTTTGGTTTTTAGGTTCTGGGGGGGGTTTCTGGGTTTTTCGGGCTCTTTGGGGCTTCAGGGCTCTTAGGGGTCTGGTATTTTACAGGGTTTCTTGGGGTTTTGGGGGTTTTCTTCTGTTTTTGCATGGTTTTTCGGCTCTTCGGGTTTTTAGGGGTTTAGGGCTTTTGCTGTAGGGCTCTTGGACCCCGAGCATCCCAGCCTGGACCAAGTCGTCCATTCTTTGTTCAAAGGGTTCGGGGTGTGTGGAACTCCAGGTTGCAAAAAGCTTCAGCATGTAAAATCAGCCTTAGCCATATATTGTGTAGATATATATACATACACATACACATACACATACACATACATATACATATACATATACATATCTATATATATATATATATTTATTTATTTTTTATTTATTTATACATATATATAGTCACCCACAGACACCACAAAGCGAGGTTCAGAAGCTTCTGCGCGTGGTCGGCGACGCCAGCGGGCTCGTGATGGCCAGAGAGCGCATCACAGGACCCGGGACCCGTTGCGTGGAAGTAATTTAGGGGCCTTAATGCTTAGAAAAATGTTTTTTTTTTTTTGGGGGGGGGGGGGGGTTATTCTAGTATATTCATAAAGGGACCATAAGGAAATCCTACTAGCAATTCTTCCGACCCCCATACCAGACGGATCAGAAGGAGGGCTAGCCATATAGCCATGCCTGAGCGCGCAGTCCCGACAGGTGTACATCGCATGCCGAGGGTGTCAATTCACGCTTGTGTCTTTACTGCTTCCTACCCCCCTAAACCCTAACCCCCTAAACCCTAAACCCTAAACCCTAAACCCTAAACCCTAAACCCTAAACCTACACCCAAGCCGTACACCCCCCCCAAAACCCTAAAAACCGCTTCTTGTACGAGTAGCACCCGATGTCGCTTGCAGGGCAAACAGCGTTGCACATGGCAGCGGAGTGCGGTCACAGCCAAGCTGCCTGGCTCTCAGACAGGTCGCAGGCATCGGATGGCATCGTGCCGCTTGCGGGTTTAGGGTTTAGGGTTTAGGGTTTAGGGTTTAGGGTTTAGGGTTTAGGGTTTAGGGTTTAGGGTTTAGGGTTTAGGGTTTAGGGTTTAGGGTTTAGGGTTTAGGGTTCAGGGTTCAGGGTTCAGGGTTTCAGGGTTTCAGGGTTTCAGGGTTTAGGGTTCAGGGTTCAGCATCTCAAGTCCAAGCATTCACTAGTCAAGAAATTATTACTCCAGAAAAATACCCACCCGCCCGAAGAATCCCACAACATTAAGAAAATATTTCACTTATGGAACGACCTCGCCCAGTAAAAAATGACCTTGCCCAGTAAACAATGACCTTGCCCAATAAAAAAAATAACCTTGCCCAATAAAAAAATGACCTTGCCCAGGAAAAAAATGACCTTGCCCAGTAAAAAATGACCTTGCCCAGTAAAAAAATGACCTTGCCCAGTAAAAAAATGACCTTGCCCAGTAAAAAAAAATGACCTTGCCCAGTAAAAAATGACCTTGCACAGTAAAAAAATGACCTTGCCCACTAAAAAAATGACCTTGCCCAGTAAAAAAATGACCTTGCCCAGTAAAAAAAATGACCTTGCCCAGCCAAAAGATGACCTTGCCCAGTAAAAAGATGACCTTGCCCAGTAACATTTTTACTGGGCAAGGTCATTTTTTTACTGGGCAAGGTCGATTTTTTTGGCCGAAACGACCTTGCCCAGTAAAAAATGACCTTGCCCAGTGAAAAACATGACCTTGCCCAGTAAAAAAATGACCTTGCCCAGTAACTCCTTAACATTTAAATTATATATGAAAGAGAGGTTCAGGGTTCAGGGTTTGATTAGGGTTTAGGGTTTGGGGGTGGAACCTTATGCTGCACATCGGGAGTACTTTAGCTGGGCTTTCCGATGAGGCCTCACGAGAGTCGGCAGCCTCCTCAAAGCTCGGAGAACTCTGCCCCTAGACCCATAGTCAACCCGATAAAGGGCCTTCTTAAGGGGTTCTGGGGTACAGTAGCCCGTCCTGGTATAAACCCTACTCCCCTTTTAGGTCCACGCGCTTCTTCGAGCATGCCCCGATGCAGAGACTTCCTTGGCCACCGACCGGTGCGGTGGACGTCCCAGCTACCCTCGCTGGGTTCGGGGATCGGGGATTTAGGGTTTAGGTTTAGGGTTAAGGGTATTTTTGTTTAGGGTTGAAGGATTGATCTGATACTAGGACCCAGGGTAGGCCCTTGTTCCCTGCTTTTAAAAGGTTCCCTTGTAAACCCCTTTAACCCAAAAAGGGTACCCTTTTTATTCCTAGGTGACTCCTGGATCGTTTAGAGTATCCAGGGGGGGCTTTGGGTTTAGGGCGCAGATGTTAACTCAAGCAAGAACTGGCCGCGGAGGTCGCGCCAAGTGGTGATCAGCAGTGATTCAGTACCTGGGGGTTTACGATATTAGGAGGTAGCAGGGTCCTAGTTATAAGGGATCCTACTATGTCCCCACCCTCGGTGTGGGGTTGTTAGACATTAAACTCAACTCTTCTCCTCGCCCGGAACTCTTCTCCTCGCCCGGTCTACTCCTCGCTCATCCCTGGAGTGCCCAACCCCAAATTGTGCCTGGAGTGCCCAACTCTAGAGTGTTCTCCAGAGTCTCTCAGGAGTGCCCAATCTAGAGTTTTTCTGTAGTGCCCAACCCCAGAGTCTCCCTGGAGTGCCCAACCCCGGAGTCTCCCAGAGTGTCCCCAAAGTGTTTGCGGAGTGCCCAGCACCAGACTCCCTGAAATGCCCAACCCCAGAGTCTCCCTGGAGTGCCCAACCCCCGGAGTGCCCAGTCTCTGGAGTGCCCAACCCCAGAGTATCTCTACCAAGAGAGGGTGGGGATGTTCGAAGTAAAATAATTGGGATCTATTTTAGGGGTCCCCTTCTTTCGCGAGCTCCCATCTCTGTCGTTGCCCTTTTAAATAGTTCAATAGCTTTGCAGAGTGGGTTTCGATGGTGCGTCTCTCATCTTGCTCAACAACACGCGCCGAGGCCGTTACACAGCCCTTCATCTTGCTGCCGAGCACACGACCAAGAGTTTGTGAATGCAGCGCTCAGAAGAGGTTTTGCTGTACAGTTCTTTTTGATTTGGTAGAAGGTAGAGACTGGACATAAAAGGCGGGAATCCCGGATGTAAGCCTTCATATCATAACCGGAATCCACACGAAGTCCCAAAAAGAAACAAAAGGGGCGCTTACGATATTAGCGGTGCCTTATTGGGGTCGTTATTAATAGGGGGATCCCACTATTTGGGGGTCTACCAGAATTTTCGAGAAACCCCCACCCTTAAACCTAAACCTAAACCCTAAACCCTAAATGGCAAGGCGTGGCCACCTGGAGACCGTGCGAGCGCTGTCGGAAGCCCCAGCATCCGCTTCGCCGCGCCAGTTGTTGTACCCAGCAGCTCTTAGTAGCTGAGTAGGTAGCCTTTATGACCTTTTGGGGTATTATGTATGTATGTATGTATATATATATATATATGTGCATGTATAATCTTGTCAGAATTGAAAGGTTGGCCTTGGTTGGCCCAGGGTAGTCAGCAACAAGCAGCTGAGGCTGGAGCACGCCCCAGACGTGGAACGCTTGCTCATGGCACAGGAGCGCTTTTCGGGACAGACGGCCCGGCCACCCGGTTTCGGGTTTAGGGTTTGGGGTTTAGCGTTTAGGGCCAGGGTTGAGGGTTTAGGGCCGAATCCTTGCTCATGGCACAAGAGCGCTTCTCGGGTCAGATGGCCCGGCCACCCGGTTCGGTTCGGCCAGGATCGGTCCAAGTTTGTTCCATGATCCATGGAGGCAAAACCCCCTGAAGCCCTCCTCAAGCCCAAAATCCTACTTTAAACCCTATATATTAAATAAAAACCCCTGGCCCAAAACCCACTTCAAACCCCCTGTACCCTAAACGCCGGTTGAAGTATCGGCAAGTTCGAGGTGGGCCCAACCCTAAAAGAAAAACCCTGAAGCTCTAGCGAAGCCAAGAAGAAGCGGAACCCTCCACTTGGGTTTCAACCCAGAAACCCTAAACCCTTGTAAACTCCTACACCCGAAGCCCTTCACTGCTTGGGAACCTTCTGAACCGCAAAGCCCTCAAAGCATCCCAAATGTCAAAACCCTTGACTCTAGAGCCTCTGCGGTGTGGTGGAGAGGGCTCAGAGGCTTGCTTCGGGGCCTCTATAGATTCTGTTGTGGGTAAAGCTGAAGAGGATTCAGAGTTTATGGTTTGGCCTTGAGCCAGTGGGCTCTTGGGGTTAGGGTAGCTGAATAGGGTTTGGTTGCAAAGGTTTGCAAACCCAAAAGTTTCGGCCCCCGAGGCCCTCCACCTGGCGGCGGCGGCGGGGCACGCGGTGCTGTGCAAAGTGCTTCTGGAGCCTGGGCCCTGGGGCCCTTCGAGGGAGTGAGATACCTTATTGACTCCCTTAGTTTAGGGTTTGGGGTTATTTGAGGTACCTTATACTAGGAAGGCCTTTGGGACATTTTCTACTTCTCCCTTAGTGGGTTTAAGAGGATCATATCCAGGAAGAGTTTTCAGTACAGTAGGTGTTAAGGATCATCCTGGGATAGAATCCCTTAGTTGAGGGTATACAGGGCATAAAATGTGCCTCCTTCCCTCGTTCCCCACGAAGAGCCAGCAGAGCTGTAGGGTCGGAGACATCCAGTCAAAGGCATCCCAAAGACCCCCAAACCCTACACCCTAAACCCAACTCCCCCTGCACCCTAAACTCGCACACCCCAAGCCCTAAAACCCTAAATCCCTAAGCCCTAAACCCTAAACCCTTCAGCCCCTAAACCCCAATCCCCTCCCCAAAGAAACCCCAATCGGCCGAGGATGGCTCCGAACCCCGGGATGCTGTTGGCCGCCAAGGCGCAGTGGCTTAAGGGTTTAGGGAGTTTAGGGCGTTTAGGGTTTAGGGTTTGTTTGCCGTCCCTTTTGTGTCTTCGTAGAAGAGCAGGTAACCGTTCACCTTTTTGGTGCAGTATAACCCCTAGATAGTCACGAAGGTGAGGCTCTAGTTCGCCTAGGATGCTGGACAACTAGGGTGTTCAGGGTGTTCGGGGTCTGTGGCTGTTCGGCTTTTTGGGGGCTTTAAGTTCTTTCTTCTGCTGTTTGGGCGTTAGGGTGTTTAAGGTATTTAGGGCCTCTAGAGTTTTGAAGAGCTCAGAGGGCTTAGGGTTTTTGCTGGGAGGGGGGCTGCGTCTTCGTCCGGGGCTGGGTTTCGGGTTTCAGGGCTTAGGCTTTTGGGGTTTTGGGGTTTCAGACCCTCAACCCGAAACCCTAAACCCTAAACCCTTAGGGATTAGGGGCTGGTGTAGGGGGTTCGACGAGTCGGGGTCTTGGGCTGCCTCTGCCTTCATGTCTCCTCCGGTAGCTTTCCAGAAAGCCCAATGCCCCCAAAGTAACGTACCCTAAATTGCAACAGGGTCCCTACCATTTGCCAAAGAACCCCCCCCAAAAAAATCAACAATAATCCCTATATGACACTTAGAAGGAAGAGCATTTCTATTTTTGGGGGGGTTCTTAAGCAAATAGTAGGGGCCTAGTTTGAAATTGAGGTCTGTTCCGTAATGAAGGGGTAGTGGGCTCGGTAGTGGGCTCTCTAGATTTGGGTAGTTGGCGCTTTGGGTTTATATTGAGGGCGCAGCGCCTATGTTTCGGTTGGGGCTGCCGAGGAATCCTACAAGGGGGCGTTGCCTCAATGCCTTCAGGGCCTAGTCCGCAAACTGCTCCAGAACAAACTCAGGGTAACCTCAACCTTCCCTACTTCTGAGGGCGGCACGAGACAAAACAGCACCAGGAGACCACGTCAAACGTGCATACATGCTCATAAGCACCCCTTGGCGCCGGCAAGCGCATGCGTGTGTGCCCAGGGGGCGTTGCAACCTGCACCACGAGCGGGTTCGGGGTTCTTAAGGTAGGGGTTTAGGGTTTAGGGTTTAAGGTTTAGAGTTTAGGGTTTAGGGTTTAGGGTTAGGAATTGCAGCTGCCTCTGCATCCCCGACGCTGGAAGGACAAATCTGCGGGCTTCACGCCGTCCGGGTCTCAGAAGTCGTATAAACCTTCGTCCCGAAACCCTAAACCCTAAACCCTAAGCCCGAAACCCTAATCCCTAACCCCTTCTCCATCAAGGTACCTTGTTGGGTGGCCACCTTTTGGACAGGAATCTAAAGGTGCCTATATTCATCAAGCCCTACTACGAAACCACCCTAGATGCTCCCAAACCTTGCCACCCCTAAGCCCTAAGCCCTAAAGCCTAAACCCCAAACCCTAAACCCCAGCCCCTAAACCCCAAACCCCAAACCCTAAACCCTAAACCCTAGCCCCTTCCTTTCCCAGGGTGCAGCTGGCCTGCGAGAAGGGGCAGGCCGAGGTTGTGGAAGCCTTGCCCGGGGGCCCAAGGGGTTCCAAGGAGGGTTCTGGTACCCTCAACCCTGTGTTGGGGTTTGGGGTTTAGGGTTCAGGGTTCAGGGTTTAGGGTTTAGGGTTTGGGGTTTAGGGTTTAGGGAAGCTTCAAGCTTCACAGTCGTGCTTCTCGCGCTGAGGGGGGGGGGGGGGTAGTTTGCTTGCCGGGCTTATAAGGGTTTAGGGTTTAGGGTTATGAAGGCCCCTGGATGTCTTTCAGAATGGCTTACAGGGCCTTCTTGGGGGCCATATGGGAGGGCTCTTCTTCTCAGGTTGGAGGGCAGCTAAACCCGAAACCCGAAACCCGACACCCTTATCTTTGAAAATGTTCAGGTTGGAGGCCGACCCAGATCGTGGCCTGCGCCTCAAGGACTGCCCCTAAACCCTAAACCCTAAACCCTAAACCCCAAACCCTAAACCCTAAACCCTAAATCCTAAACCCTACAGGACTGCCTGGAGAAGTGGAACGGCTTCTCCGTCCACGCCTCGGCTTTGCGCGCTTCAGGGGGTTTCGGGTTTAGGGTTTGGGGCTTAGGGGCTCATAGCGGTTTAGGGTTTAGGGTTTAGGGGTTTAGGGGTTTAGGGGTTTAGGGGCTTAGGGGCTCATAGCGGTTTAGGGGTTTAGGGTTTAGGGGTTTAGGAGTTTAGGGGTTTAGGGGTTTAGGGGTTTAGGGGTTTAGGGGTTTAGGGGTTTAGGGGTTCAGGGGTTCAGGGGTTCAGGGGTTCAGGGGTTTAGGGGTTTAGGGGTTTAGGGGTTTAGGGGTCCATATGAAAGGGAATTTCGAAGAGGACCCTGAGCTAGAGAACTACCCATGGGTTTAGGGCTTACAGGGTTAATAGGGCTTACTGCTTTTACAGGGTTTTTTTTGGTAGGATCTCGTGTATGGCTCTGCAGGTTCGAAACCAGAGCAAAGCCCAGAAGCCTCCCTACTCCCAACCCAATAGCTCGTAGTAGGGGGTCCGAAAACCCAAACCCAAAGCCTGGAACTCGCGCAGGGATTAGGGTTTAGGGTTTATGGGAGTAGGGTTTAGGGTTTAGGGTTTGGGGTTTAGGGTTTAGGGTTTAGGGTTTAGAGTCTAAATATGAACCGCTGAAGGCCCTCCACCTCATCGCCTATCGCGGCCACGAGGAGGCCGCCAAGGCCCTCCTGCGCCAGCAGCCCCAGTCCGTGGGAACCATCTTGGCTCGGGGTTTAGGGTTTAGGGTTTAGGTTTAGGCTTTAGGGTTTAGGGTTTGGAGTTTGGGGTTTGGGGTTCAGGGTTTGGGGCTTGGGGTTTAGAGGGTTTGCAGGTTTTATGGGGTTTAGAGTTTACAGGGTGCAGAGACTTGGATTCATAATCTTGCTTTGGGGTTTGGGGTTTGGGTATTGGGGTTTAAAGGGTTCACTTGCACCGACAAGTGGGGGAACAAGTTCCTGAAATAAAGTTAGCCAGTTATAGCTACAGTTGCACCACTTCATGATCTTACTGATAAGAACCCATGAGCCTCCAAGTAGGGTTAATAGGGTTTAATTAAAGGTTTATAGGTTTCTGGAGTCTATGCCTACAGGGCAGGGCCCACGCTCCAAATCCCATCTTTCGTTTTTTTTTTTGTTGTTTTTTGGTTTTTTTGTGTTCTGTTCTAGAGCCCTTTATAGCTTTCCTACTTAGCCTGGTCTGGGTTCAAAATGTCGACCCTAAACAACCTTAAGGAAAAGGGCTGATAGCTTGGGCTTCCTAAATCTGCTATCATGACCTGTAACCGTAACCCCCGAGCCTTAAACCTGTATTGTGATCTTTACCCTCCGAGCCCAATCATAGTAGGTGTGAATTATTCCTTCGCTGCAGGGTATCGTGTTCTTTGGGCTTCGAGGTTCATGGGGGGCGCCTAGAAGTAGAGCTAGAGTTATCACTGACTCCAGCTTCACTTCGAGCACTTAAAGCCCCATCTAGAAGTACCCATGAACCTCAAAGTAATCCTAAACCCTAAACCCTAAACAACCCTAAACCCTTTAAACCCTTTGGTCGTGACATGTCGGGACTGTTGCGGCCGCCTGAGGCTGCGCGCCCGACAAGCGCGCAATCCTGGCTTTGAAGGCCGGGGTTGGCCTTGGGGATAGGGTTTTAGGGTTTAGGGTTTAGGGTTTTATGGTTTTAGGGTTTAGGGTATAGGGTTTTGGGTTAGGGTTTAGGGTTCAGGGTTATAGGCATTATGATGCTTTCTGGTTTATAGGATTAATAGGATTTATAGGATTTGGTCCTTTGTTGGGGGGGGGGGGGGGGGGGGGAGGGTCCTCGTTTTAATCAAACCCTAAGAAGACAGCAGGCGAGGGGGCCTACCCCGGGCAGATGCGCAGGGAGATGAGGGCGACTCCCTGCCTGTACCCGGTGAAGATGTCTTTAGGGTCTTTCAGGTTTCGGGTTTGGGGTTTAGGAATAAGAAGCGAGACGACCCTGGAGCCATGTTGACGGAGGAAGCAAGAGAGGTCGAGAGAAACCCAGGAAGGAGGATCAGGCATGCAGTGCCAAGGTTGCTGTTTTCTTGTACATACCTTGGGGACGAAATGATCCCTAACAGGGTTTAGGGTTCCTATACCCTATTAGAAATTATAGTGGTATAGGGTATCTGACCCACTTTTCGGGTTCAGAACCCGGGTTCATTTGGTCTCCAAGGTAAGTTTCGCCCACAGTGATGGTTTCGAGGGAAAGCAGGCAAGAGTCCTCGAGTTCTGTTCTTTCCATGTCCTACCGGAGTGCATGACCTTGCTTAGTATAAAGTAGGTTTCGGAAATGTTGACAAAACGGGCGTCCTGCGTTCGCGAGCGAGCGCTGTGATAAAGGCGGCAGTTCTTGCATGGCCCGTGACGTCTCAGCCCTAAACCCAATTCACAAAACCCTATACCCTAGACCCCCAAAACCTTAAACCCTAAACCCTAAACACAAAACCCTATACCCTAAAACCCCCAAACCCTAAACCCTAACCCTAAACCCTAAACTCTAAACCCTAAACCCCCAAAACCCTCAACCCTAAACCGTGCGCAGGATCAGCGTGGCAGAACTGCCTCCGACTTGGCCTCTGACAGAGGCCTTGGCATGAGCCGTTGCCTGAACAGAGAGAAAGAGAAAGAGAGAGATACATGAATATAAACAGAAACAACAGAAACTAAATGGATACATGTGTATATATATATATGCATATACATGTTTGTCTTATACATATGTATATATACATATGTATAGAGCTTGTTTTTATGTAAGCTCAAGGGACTGTTCTACGTGATGGGCTATTGTTGGCATCCCGTTAAACTAAAGGGTAATAAAGACAAATAGAAGTACATGTCCAGATCGAAGTACAGTTGTACATGGAAGTAAGTGCACGTGTAAACACAAATATATGTATGAACACACACAAGTTATTGTCCGATAGAAACGACGATTTTGCTTCAGACCCCCCCCCCTCAAAAATGAAAGATAATAATCCCCAGATGCTTCCAAGGAAGAAGATGTTTCATTCTTTGGGTTCTTAAGCAAAGCAGTCGGACGTAAAACGTCAAAATTCTCGGAACCCGTGTTTTTTTTTTTGTTGTTGCGGTTTTTTTGTTAAGGCGACCCAAAGCCGGCCGCCCGCCCTCCACAGCAAAAAAAAAAACGCGCCCGGCCCCGGAGCAAAAAAAAACGCGCCCGGCCTCCACAGCAAAAAAAAACGCGCCCGGCCTCCACAGCAAAAAAAAAAAAAAGCGCCCTGGCGAGGGAGGAGTACGCAGCCAGGGCAGACCAACAAGTGAGTGAGCCATGCAGACGTGCTGCAAAACATATGAGTCTTGTTGAAACCCGTCATGCGAGCCGTGTGTTTGCAAATGGGGGGCGGCGCCCCCCCCAACCCCCCCGCTGCCTCTTGTTGAAACCCATCGTACGAGCATTGTGTTTGCAAATGGGGGGGGCTGCGCCCCCCCCAACCCCCCCGCTGTTTATTTTTAGCCGTGCAAGCGTGCTGCAAAACAAAAGAATCTTGTTGAAACCCGTCGTGCGAGCCGTGTGTTTGCAAATGGGGGGGGCTGTGCCCCCCCAGCCCCCCGCTTTTTTCTTTTTAGCCGTGCAAGCGTGCTGCAAAGCATATGAATCTTGTTGAAACCCGTCGTGCGAGCCGTGTGTTTGCAAATGGGGGGGGGCTGCGCCCCCCCCAACCCCCCCGCTGCAATTTTTTTCTCTTCAAAGCCGTGCAGAAGCGTGCTTCAAAGTAAAATATGCTGTGCAAGCGTGCTTCATCGAGCATTGTGTTTGCAACACCCTAAACCCGAAACCCAAAACCCTGAACCCTGAACCCTAAACCCAAAACCCTTAAACCCTTGAACCCTGAACCCTAAAAGCCCGAAACCCCTAAACCCCTAAACCCTGAGCCCTGAACCCTGAACCCTCAACCCTAAGCCCGAGACCAGCCCTAAACCGTGCAAAGCGTGCTTCAAAGTATATGAATCTTGTTGATACCCATCGTAGGAGCATTGTGTTTGCAAATGGGGGGGGCTGCGCCCCCCCCAACCCCCCGCTGTTTTTATTTGAGCCGTGCAAGCATGCGGCAAAACATATGCATCTTGTTGAAACCCATCGTGCGAGCGCCCTGCTTTTTGGGGTTTTACCGCCGCGCAAAGCGTGCTTCAAAGCAGATGCGTCTTGTTGAATCCCATCGTACGAGCATTGTGTTTGCAGATGGGGGGGGCTGCGCCCCCCCCAACCCCCCCCGCTGCTTATTTTTAGCCGTGCAAGCGTGCTTCAAAACATATGAATCTTGTTGAAGCCCGTCGTGCGAGTCGTGTGTTTGCAAATGGGGGGGGCTGCGCCCCCCCCAACCCCCCGCTGTTTATTTTAGCCATGCAGGCGTGCTGCAAAACATATGCATCTTGTTGAAAACCCGTCATGCGAGCCGTCTGTTTGCAAATGGGGGGGGCTGCGCCCCCCCCAACCCCCCCGCTGCCTCTTGTTGAAACCCATCGTACGAGCATTGTGTTTGCAATTGGGGGGGGCTGCGCCCCCTCAACCCCCCCGCTGTTTATTTTTAGCCGTGCAAGCATGCTGCAAAACATAAGAATCTTGTTGAAACCCGTCGTGCGAGCCTTGTGTTTGCAAATGGGGGGGGCTGCGCCCCCCCCCAACCCCTCCGCTGCGTTTTTTTTTCTCGCAAGGCCTCCACAGCAAAAAAAATGTGCAAGGCCTCCACAGCACAGAAAAAAAGCGCAAGGCCTGCACAGCAAAAAAAACGTGCAAGGCCTCCACAGCAAAGAAACACAAGGCCCCTACAGCAAAAAAAAACCCACAAGGCCCCTACAGCAAAAAAAAGCGCAAGGCCTCCACAGCAAAAAAACGCACAAGGCCTCCACAGCAAAAAAAAACCGCGCAAGGCCTCCACAGCAAAAAAAAAACGCGCAAGGCCTCCACAGCAAAAAAAAAACTCGCAAGGCCTCCACAGCAAAAAAAAAAAACGTGCAAGGCCTCCACAGCAAAAAAAAAAAGGCACAAGGCCTCCACAGCAAAAAAACAAACGCACAGGCCCCCACAGCAAAAAAAAAACGCAGAAGGCCCCCAGAGCAAAAAAGCCGGCACAGCAAAAAAAAGGAAAAAGCCTCCACAGCAAAAAAAAAACCGCGCAAGGGCCTCCCATGCAAAAAAAAAAAAAAAGCCAAGGCCTCCCAGCAAAAAAAAAAAAACGCACAAGGCCCCCACAGCAAAAAAAAAAAAAAAGCAGAAGGCCTCCGACAAAAAAACAGCAAAAAAAAAATCCCACAGCAAAAAAAAAAGCGCAAGGCTCAAAAAAAAGCACAAGGCAAAAAACAAAGCACAAGGCCCCCAAGCAAAAAAAAAACGCGGAAGGCCCCCAGAGCAAAAAAGCCGGCACAGCAAAAAAAAAAAAAGCCTCCACAGCAAAAAAAAACGCGCAAGGCCTCCACAGCAAAAAAAACGCACAAGGCCTCCACAGCAAAAAAAAAACGCACAAGGCCCCCACAGCAAAAAAAAAACGCGGAAGGCCCCCAGAGCAAAAAAGCCGGCACAGCAAAAAAAAAAACACTCTTGCCAAAATTCTCTAAGGGACCCGAAACCCGAAACCCGAAATGTGCGTGCGTGTTTTACTCGGCAGGTCGACGGCCGGTTGCATCTCTCCTGGCCGAATCATAGCCGTGAGAACTTCCGGTTTAGGGTTTAGGGTTTAGGGTTTAGGGCCTTTGCCAGGCAACTCAGTTGTTCTCTCCGCCTGAAGCCCTAAAGCCTACAAAGAGGAGAGCGAATATTCTGCATCTCCAGGATTTAGATGATACGTCTCTTGCACAAAGTGGGATGGTTCATGGTAGTAGATGGGGCAGTGTTGATGACTCTGCCGTCTCACCTCAAAGGCGACATGGCAGCCTGAAGACCTGGCTGCTGCAGGAAGCCTTTGTGAAGTCTTTGTAGGAAATTTTGCCAGGAGCGGAGGGGTCCGGCGTTGTGGTCGCGCTGCCTGAAAACTCAGGCGCCCGCGATATGGACCCGCCCTCCTGGCGGCATAAGTCATCCAAAGCAGTTCGATGGCTGATGGGAGAAGCTTCACAGCAAAAGGCCAGGCCCATGCGGCCAGTCATACAGGAGCCTGCATGAGTGCCAAGGTTATCCACTTGCAATCCCTATATTTTGCAAGCAGAGCAAAAACCCAATAATTCACCCTAAGCCCTAAAGCCCTAAACCCTAAATGCAGCCAGGCTCGACCCCGGAATCGCAGCAACCATCCATGAGCCACTTCATGGAGCTCAACGTGCTGGAGGCGCTTGTGGGTTTGTCTAGGGTTTAGGGTTTGGGGTTTGGGGTTTACGGAAGGTGAGCTAGGTTTGTAATTTGAGGGCTTCAGGGACAAGGGCGTAGCGCAATGTAACCCTGCAACGTTAGGCTTGGCACTAGAATTTAGGACAACATCCACTTGCTCATATTGGAAATTCTTGGGCGGCACAAGACCTCTGCGCGACCCAAACTGCTAAACCCTAAATCCTAAACCCTAAACCCTAAACCCTAGAGAGTCCCCTGGAGGCGCTGGGGCGCATGGCCGAAGGCATTTACCGCCTGCGTGGCTACGCCGAACTCAACCATGCTGCAGTGTGCGCCCTCCCCTAAGGGTCGGGTTTAGGGTTTAGGGTTTAGGGTTTAGGGTTTAGGGTTTAGGGTTTAGGGTTTAGGGTTTAGGGTTTAGGGTTTAGGGACATCGTGCATATTTGGGCCCTAAGGCCGCTGTGTAGGAAGAGCTCTAAGGCACCCTAAACCCTAAACCCTACACCGGTACATGGACCCTCTGGGCTCTGCTTGAGGGTTTAAGGTCCAGAGTTCAGGGAGTCCAGCAGGGTTCATAAGGTTCTTGGGATCGTATGAGAATACAGGGGCTTACATGTTGAGGGTTGAGGGTTGACGGGTTACTCAAAAAAGGCCGACAATTTAGGAAAGTTCCCCGTGTGTATGTACACTTGTTAGCCTAAACCCGACACCCTAAACCCAAAACCCTAAACCCTAAACCCTAAACAGCCCATTGTTTGGATGCTGGGTTCCCTTCTAGAAGTGAGAAACCCCCAAGAGGTTACTCGGAGGTTAAAGCCTGTAGAGCCTACACCCTAACTAAACCCTAAAACAAAAAAGTGTACCCAAATATGGTTACTGGGCTACCAAGTCAACAGCTGGCATGTCAACGAGAGCTTGGAAATCCGTTGAGCCGAAACACCAATGACCATAAACGAACCCTTGAATAACACCATATAAGCCCTATAGGCAAAACCCCAAACCCTAAAACCCGCCCCAAACCCTAGACCCCAAACCCTAAACCCCAGACCCTAAACCCTAAACCCTAAACCCTAAACCCCTAAACCCCTCAAACCCCTCAAACCCTAAGCCCTAATCCCCAAACCCGAAGTCCCTCGCACGGGAGGTTCAAGATCCTGCGCAAGCACGACAAGATACTGAAGCGAGAGGATGGCGTGGCCCAGGTATACCCGTCCTTGGTCGAGGCTGGGACAATTGCGGGGTTCAGGGTTTAGGGTTTAGGATTAAGGGTTTAGGGTTTAGGGTTTGGGGTTTAGGGTTTAGGGTTCAGGGTTCAGGGTATAGGGTTTAGTGTTTAGGGTTTAGGGTTATGTATCTAGCTACAGGTTGCTTTGACAATGCCGTGAAGACGCGGAGGTTCATTGGCACTTATACGCGGGATTCAGGATGTAGGGTTTAGGGTTCAGGGGACGCTTTAAGTGACGTTAGCACTACTAGTAGTTTTGATCATGATCAGGTAAGACCCAGGTACAACTACAATATCCTACCCTACTTACTCATAAGTACTCATGAGCCTCAAAAATGCTCAAAGAAGCGCCTTGCGATATCCTGGGTTTAGGGTTTAGTGTTTGGGAGCTGGGACGTCCTCAAGCCCTAAACCCCAAACCCCAAACCCTAAACCCTAACCCCTAACCCCTAAACCCTAAACCCTAAACCCTGAACCCTAAACCCTAAACCCTAAACCCTAAACCCTAAACCCTAAACCCTGCCAGAATACAATCTTCGCCGACATGTCCGGCTTCGAAGCCCTCGACGCCAGTGTTCGAGAGGCGCAACCAGCGTTGTAAGGAAGCCAGGAGGGCTTAGGGTTTTAGGGTTTAGGGTTTAGGGTTTTAGGGTTTAGGGTTTCAGGGTTTTGGGGTTCAGGATTTTGGGGGTTTTGGGGTTTGGGTTTGGGGTTTAGGGTTTGGGGTTTAAGTTGTAGCCTCTGATAATACGGATCCTTGCATTTTGGAGGCGCCATTACTGGAGGACCCCAGGCCTTAAACAGCAAAAACCCAGGCCAAATGGCCCAAGAGGACCCCGATCAGAGGAACAACCATCTTGCTGCAGGAATGGGGGAAGTGAGGAAAGCAGGAACGGCCGGTTCAGGGTTTAGGGTCTAGGGTTTGGGGGTAAAACCGGCTTTCTGCAACTCTAGCTTTAAAAATGCTTCGATCTCAGATGCCTAAACCCTAAGAAGCCCTTGAAATTCCTAAACGCTGAACCTGCGGATCCTTCTTTTTTTTTTTTTGGGGGGGGGGGGTGGGCAAGAGTCACTGGCGAAGCGAAGAGGCCTTCCAGCATCGATCTGCATCCGCAGAGCCTGGGATTTCTCCCGAGGCAGGGTGTAGGGTTTCGGGTTTTAGGGGTTTAGGGTTTCGGGTTTTAGGTTAATTCGGGTTTCGGGTTTTAGGGTTTTAGGGTTTTAGGGTTTAGGGCTTCTGCTTGTTTGTTTCAAGTTGCACTTAAAATGGAGCGGACGAGCGCATTGCGAGGTGCTAGCAGGGTGTCCAGGTGTCTCACATCTTCAACTCCGATTCGATCCACCTGCGCACGTCCGCACGTTCAAGTCGTCTTACGGTCATGGGCAGACACTAGAGTCACTAAACCCCAAGGCCCTCAACCCTCAGGCCTTAAAGCCCTAAAAAGGCTCTTGCTGAATGCCCGAAAGGGGGCAAGATCCGAAAACCTGCAAGTTCTAGACTTTTTGAAAGCTTTATGCATACACAAATACGTACTCTATAATATACATATATATATATACACACTCACAAACATATGTACACACACAAATAATTACAAGTACTCTGCATATATCTATATATATATATGTATCTATAGAGCGAGGGGTGTATACGTACAAGTTGTATCTAGATTTTTATGACGCATTCCATTCCTTCATCTCGCCGAAGCCGCCATGGACGTCGCCCCTGTGCGGCCTTTGCAGCGCCCGCGGGAAAGCCCTCTCCCGGGCGCCGGGGCGCCCCCGCCGTGGGCACCCCGGGGATTTGAGCGATTCCACTTTGGGCTGTTTGCATCTGCATCCCACCCGGGCCTGCTTTCCTCCTTCTCCGGCGCCTTAGCCCTGGTCCTGGCGAGGAAGCCACGGAGGGCGCCCTGCACATCCTGGGCAGGCGGAACAGGGTCCGTAGATGTCAGAAGCAGGACAAGCGTGCGAGGGCGAAGGCACCGCACGGCCCGTGCCGCACGCTCTGTGAGCGTGGTGGTGGAGAAGTCGGTGAGGCAGGAGCTGCCGAAGTGCGACGCGCGGTGGATGGAGCAGCTACTGCAAGCCAGGGCAGCGGAAGTCCTCTTCAATGGCGTGGAGCGGACGGAGCCAGCAGCTGAAGACCTGATCTACCTGTACTTTCCGTCTTTGGATGTCGGCCCTTACAGCACCCAGGTGCCTCCGCCAGCAGTTCTGGACATCGTTTTGCTGTAGCACCAGGCAGGCCCCTGGGATATTCTGTATTTACCCTTCTGGGTTTGAAGAGGATCATATTTTGGAGTATTTTTCAGTGGGTTAAAGGTCCAACCTAGTTCTTCCATTCCAGCCAGCCCCACGCATCGTCGAGCTACTTCAAACCACTTGGCACCTCTTCCAATCACGCAAGGTTTAGATACTCGCCGCTAGACTAACTGCCACAACTACCCTAAACCTTCAACCCTAAACCCTAAAGCCCTAATATAGGGGCCAGAATAATTTCTAGCAGTATTCCCGTATGGTTCCTTTACAAATATTCCAGAAGAACCCCCAAAACCCTATCCTAGTTATTCAGGCTCCTAGAATACACCCGGCCCAGGTGCGCATGACCTGCCGCATCAACCTCAAGCCACAGCGGGCTGAGGTGCAGGCCGGGCGAGATGCGTGTGGGTTGGGGTACTTGGAGGCTCATTAAGTTCTTAGAAGTAGGTCCAAAAGTAGGGCACATTTAGTTTGTTTTTTTGTATTTGAGGTACTTCTAACCCTCATATCAGTACAACCTAAAGCCCCCAAACCCCAAACGCTAAACCTAAGCCCCCGATGAAACTCCAGGCAAGGCTCAAGACCTCAAAAGGGTTCAGGGGTTAGAGTTCGGGGTTTAGGGTTTAGGGTTTAGGGTTAGGGTTTAGGGTTTAGGGTTTAGGGTTTAGGGTTTAGGGTTTAGGGTTTAGAGCTTACCCCTCAAAGCTATAAAGGACCTGCAAATGCTGCGAGGTCTTGGAAATCAACCCCGGCCTACGCGACAAGCGCACGGGCGACGTCGAGTACCAGAAGGCGCGCCGGACGAGTTTTCCGTGCCTTAGGGTTTCGGGTGAAGAGTGTTTATAGGGTTTAGGGCTGGGTTTCGGGTGAAGAGGGTTTAGGGTTTAGGGCTTATAGGGTTTCGGGTGAAGAGGGTTTAGGGTTTAGGGCTTAGGGTTTAGGGGTTTCGGGTGAGCCCAGGCCAATGTGGGTAGTTCTCTAAATTAGGGTCCCCTTTTTGGGTCCTAAATTTTGAACACAGCACCTCATAAAGCGGACCCCCAAAGGGACCCGAACTTTTGCAAACCACCCATTGGAGAAGACCTACTCAGAAGGTTATGACTTTCAAGTGCTGCTGAGGATTTGGACAAGCTGCTCGAGGCCAACGCTGAGGCAGGAGCTGCATTGTAGTCAGAATATCTTACTGTATAGTACACAACGCATAATATGATATTGCACTGTATGGTCTCATATTTGTGTTTTGTATATGTATACGTAAGTAAATCAACAAATTTGTGGAGTCCGTCGCGGCTTTGAAAGGGAGCTGTTGCCAGAAACATGCTGCGGCTAGCATGTGGTCCGCTGATCTTGCACCGGTGGCTGTGCGTTGCTTGAAGAAGGGTCCATGGAAGGGTTTAGGGTTTGGGGTTTAGGGTTTAGGGTTTAGGGTTGCAGCTGCGGGTCTTGGTGGCCAGATAGTGCTCCGCTGGCAAGATGATCCGCGCTCGAACGGCCTGCGGATCGTGCAGCAGGCCCTGGGAATATACCCCTAAACCCTAAACCCTAAACCCTGAACCCTGAACCCTAAACCCTAAACCGTTCGCTGAGCTGCTGACAATGCGGATATGATGCCTTCGGCTGACGTCGCTAGGCTCTCCAGCGCTTCAAGTACTACCTGCAGCGGCCTTTGTGTTCAGCTGCTGATGAAATGCGAACCTGCACCAACTCTTCTCGCGTGAACCTATTAACCCCGCTGAGCCCTACACCCTAAACCCTAAACCCCAAACCCCAAACCCTAAACCAACCCCAAAGACCTGTGCTGAGGCCTGGCTGGTTTCCAGTGCCAGATTCGGTGACAGAAGCTGTGCTGAGGTGTGCCGAGAATTCCTGAAGAGATCTGAGGTTTAGGGTTTAGGGTTTAGGGTTTAGGTTTTAAGGTTTAGGCAAAGGGCTTCTGCGAGGACTCTAGTCCTTTGCAGGAGAGACTTTGCGTGCCAGTATTCTGAGGAATACCCATGTATGCGAGTTCTGTAGGATCCGCTGAGGGGCCTCAGCATATGTACTTGGTTGGGGCTTAGTGGGATTCTACCTTGGACCCTTAAAGTTGTACCCTTGGGTTTGGTGACCCCTTTCAAATCAAAGATCCTCTAAGGGAATATGCGGGCCATACTCGGAGTACATTATGGGAAGCCTTTAGGGGTACGACATTAGGGGAAACCCTAAGCCCCAAACCCTAAGCTTTAAACCGGCTTCGCGTTTAGGGTTTGCTGTTTAGCGGGTTCTTGCAGTGGCAGGACCTTCATCACCAGCGCCATCAACGCCGGCCAGGTTGAAGTGTTCAGGCATCACGGATCTTAGGTCTGCTTGGGCTCTCCCATTGTTGACGTGTGCATCAGGGCCCTTCAGCAAGAAGCAGCGGCAGTTGCCTCAGAGCGAGTGAGGACGTAGACAGGCCAGTCACTGCCTTTGTTCGGGATCTCGCCGCGAAAGGCCCAGCGGCGGGTGTGAAGTCGACCTGACCGTGGCAGCAGGGGTTTAGGGTTTAGGGTTTCGTAATCGTAGTGCCCCACGAGTGCGTCGCAAGGCGACCCTCGAAGTGTGCGGGCTTTCTTTGCTTGCCAAAGGCGCGAAGTAGATATCGGCGCAAAGCACGCCGTCTAGGACATCCTCAGCCCCAATTTTCCAGCTTCGAAGTGGGCTCAGAACAAAGACTGCTGGCAAGTGACGCAAAAGGTCGTTGCTGGGCCCATGCGCCCCTAAGCCCTAAACCCCTAAACCCTAAAAAAAACCCTAAACCCGAGGGGGCTAGTTCTTGAGCAATTACATGATATCTAGCTGAAGTCCGTCTAGGATGCGGAAGAAGCAGGCAAAAGCCTAGATACTGTAAACCCTATATAAGGTCCCCCCCCCTCTTCAAGCCGAATGAGCCCTTAAGACCTCCAGCAAAATACAGAATCACCGGAGGGCTGAAGACCCTAAACCCTAAACCCTAAACCCTAAACCCTAAACCTTAAACCCTAAACCCTAAACCCTAAACCCTAAACCCTAAACCCTAAACCCTAAACCCTAAACCCTAAACCCTAAACCCTGCACTGGCAGGTTGCTCTTTTGGCAGCAGGCTCGTGTCTCAGAGGGCAGAGGACTTACATCCCACCCTTCAACGATTTTTTATAGGCAATGCTGGTTTCGAGTTGAGGGTTTTGGGGATTTAGGATTGATGAGGGTTTAGGGTTTAGGGTTTAGGGTTTAGGGTTTAGGGCTTAAGAACGCCCCTTCAGGGGTTCACATGCAACCCATGAGCAACGGGTGCCGGACTGGGACGTCAGGCTCAGTGCGTACGAAACCTGCCAAGAGTCTAAGAAAACATGTATACATATAAATCATATAAATACATATATATATATATGCATATCTTTCTATCCTAGGCTGTAAGCCCTGCACCCTAAACCCTAAGCCCTGTCTCTCTACCGAGGGTCAGGGTGTAGGGGGCTCTCCGTCCTCCTCGCAGCAGCAAGAGACCCAGAGACCAGGCCTCGGGAAGCGCTCCGCCACGACGGCCGGCCTGCAGGCACCCCGAAGCCCCACAACAACGTTTAGGGTTTAGGGTTTAGGGTTTAGGGTTTAGGGTTTAAGGTTACGGTTTACGGTTTAGGGTTTAGGCGCTACAAAAACCGAAAAAAGAAACGTGTAAACCCTGCAAGAACCCTGCAAAATTTGAACACACCGCATAAACCCCTACCAAAGCCGTATGTTCCTTATCAACCCTCATCCAGCGGGTAGTTGCATTCTCCCTAAACATGGTGCCTGAGCTTCCCTAAGTGGTCGTTCCATGGTCCCTACCTTCGGAATGTGGGCCCTTGGGGTCTGCCGAGGGTAGATAAGGGGCGGAGCGAGGGCTCCCCAGGGAAATTTTTCTGGAACTCAAGTTTGAAGGTTGCTGCCTGGGGGAGTCATAGGCCGAAGGGCCCTTCTATCGTATCCAAGCAAGAGGTGCTCTTCTGAGGGTGAAGCGAAGGTTTCCCTTTTGGATATTCTAGGCCGAAGGGCCTTGCATCAAAGTTTTACGATTTCTTGGGAAATCGAGTTTACGTTCTCATCTGGACTAGGTCTCAGGGTTTAGGGTTTAGGGGTTTAGGGTTTAGGGTTTAGGGTTTTTTGACTCCATGAGAGCTGCGAACCCCAGCCGTGCAAACCCTTGATCACTAATCCGCACGGCCTTCTAAACTCGTATCAGCCCTTAGGGTTTAGGGTTTAGGGTTTTTAAGCTGTTCTGGTCCTGTATGATACATCTCAGGAAAGTCAACATACACAAGTCTAAACCTTTGAGCCACTTCAATAGCCTGACCTGAATATCCTTAAACCCTAAGTCCTAAAGACAAAACCTAAACTCCTCATTCCAGAACTCCATAAACCCTAACCCAAACCCCTAAACCCAGAATTCCAAAACCCTCTCACCCTGAACCCTAGAACCCCTAATTCCAAAACCAAAACCTTATACCCTGAACCCTAAACCCCAAAACCCCTAAGCCCTGCAGACGCTACCCTGAACCCTATACCCTGAGCCCTACACCCTAAAGCCTAAACCCTAAACCCAAAACCGTAAACTCTAAACCCTAAACCATAAACCCTAAACCCTAAACCCTACACCCACCTTGAAATGCGTCTCCTTGCCAGGGCCCAGCCTTGCGAGCCGAGCGGCTCCTCTTCTTTTACATGGGGCCACGGCCCTGGTCAGTGTTTAGGGTTTAGGGTTCAGGGTTTAGGGTTTAGGGTTCAGGGTTTAGGGTTTAGGGCTCAGGGTTTCGGCTTTATGGGGGTTTAGTGTCTAGGGCTTAGGGCTCAGGGTTTAGGGTTTCAGGTTTTGCACTGGGAACAAGTTCCGATTCAGGGCTGCCCGAATCCCTCCGGCCTCCTGTGAGCGCGCGCGCGCGCCCCTCAGGCTGTCCGTGGCGCTGGTCCTGTCGATCATCGTGCTGATGGCGCTGCCTGCCAAGGTCCGGAGCTTTAGCCCTGCAAAACCCAAAAGCCTAAACCCCAAAAACCCATCAACTTCAGGGCCTTGTGAATTTTGAAGGGCCCATGGAGAGATTTTGGGGGCAAGCTACAAGACAAATAGGGTACTGCGTTGTCAGGCAGCTTCAACCCCTGAACACTTTATCCTGAACCCCCCAACTTGTAGGATAAGTAAAAGGGAACCCCTTCTTAACCCTCTCTCGGCTCTCCTAAACAGGGACCTAGTTCGGAGGGTCTATATCCCCAAGGGTCCCCCTAGTCCTATCCCCTACCAACAAACAGCTTAGGGTTTGGCGCGTAGGGGTTTTCGGTTTCCTTGGATCCTAGATGGCCCATTGCCAAGGACCCCGCTACTTTCTCGAAGAACTATTTCCTCTGCAGCTTTCCGGTGTGCTGCCGGCGGGCATTTACGGGAATGCCCCCGCGATCTCACCAAAGAAACCGGGGGCTGTCCGCGGACCATCCTAGTAAGTAGGGTTAGGAGCTATAGGCACCTTCGTAAGGTACTAGAGGGGCCGGCATCATTAGAATAGGATTTTTATTATTATTTATTTGTTTTTTTTTTTTTTTTGGGGGGGGGGGGGGGGCGGGGTATTGTAGTATATCCATAAAGCGACCATAAGGGAATACTATTAGGAATTATTCCGACCCCTGGATTAACTATGTATCCTGCTTTCAGCCCTACCTATCACTCTACCTGAGAAAGTATAAATATGTGCCCTAAACCCTAAACCCTAAACCGTGCGCGGCTCCATTGTTGTGAACGGGCTGCCAGGTTTCGAGTTTGCCTCAGTCTCGTCTTGGTTATCGTCGGCATGGCCACCGTGGCCCGGGTGTGTCTAACACTCAGTGTGCTTCACGTGTCCGTGCAAGTAGGGTTGCAAGTAAAGTAGTTCTAAGCTTGTTTAGGCTACTTACAACCCCGCTTACAAGTGCCATGAACATCCAAGCGAGTTGGTGAAAGATGCGTGCGCTTGTTGGCTTTGGTGGCTTGCGTTCTGCGACTCTTCTGTGACAGGCATGTAAACTGTAGTGCTGACACCTGTAGAGTGTAGAGTGTAAACAGATGTGCAGGCCAGTGCAGGCACATAGAGACACGCGCAGGCTGCAATTCCTGCCGTCGCAGAATCAGGTGGAACTCACACACGCAATGCTGGTCCGAGGTGAGGACAACTTTGTGAATCACTTGCCCCTGGCTGAGCAATGGACCATATCCGCAGCCGATGATTTAAGACCCGGATGTCAAGTCGTACGAAGTTTAGGGTTTAGGGTTTAGGGTTTTAGGGTTTAGGGCAGCTGCTTGCCCAGTTTCATCTTGACCATCGACCCACGATGTCGGATTAGCCTCGGGCCCAGGGGCAGCAAGCGGGTAGAGTGGGAGGTCGCGTCTCAGAAAGAACCCTGAGCCCTATCTGCCCCATAAACCCTCAACTCTGAAGGAATCTGATGCCTCTACATGTTTTGGCATGTTTTGGCTGGACCGTAAACCCCAAACCCTAAACCCTAAACCCTAAACTTAAACCCTCTTTAAGGCCCCAACTTCCTCTTCACCTGGGCCATGCTGCTGAGCTCCGCGTGGCAGTTCGGCCTGACTTGGAGGGCTCTCGCATGGTTTTTTTGTCGGGGCTGAGAGGGGCCTTCACGGTTTAGGGTTTAGGGTTTAGGCGGTTTAGGGTTTAGGGTTTAGGGTTGAGGGGCTAGGGTGACCCCCCCCCCCCCCTTCTGGGCCGGTCCAGGGGGGGCTCAAGTGGCATGATATGGGGGCTTATTGGTCTTATGAGGCGGATGATGGCCTTATCAGGCTCCTGGAACGTCTTCAGGGTCTTGGGATGGACGACAAGGATTCTTTGTGGTACTTTACTGTAATTTTAGATCCTTACCTTTTTTGGGTTTATTGGGTTTCTTATTCAGGCAGCTAAAAGTTTAATTTATAGCTACCCTCCTGAGTGCAGCCAAGGATTGTTGTTTGGTTTTGGGAGGCCCCAAACCCTAAACCGTGAACCCTGACGCCCGGGCCGCCTCATGCTCACTGTGGGCTACTTCGGCTATAGGTAGTGTACCCATAGCTGACAATTGGTTGTAACCTTGCTCTACAACCCTAAACCCTAAACTCTAAACCCTAAACCCTAAACCCTAAAGCCTAAACCCTAAACCCTAAACCCTAAACCCTAAACCCTAAACCCTAAACCCTAAACCCTAAACCCTAAACCCTAAACCCTAAACCATTACCCTACTTATAAGTACACATGAACCTCCATGTACACCGGACCAAGAAAGCAGGACTTCGAGCTCTCTGCAGGGTTTAGGATTTACGGTTTAGGGTTTAGGGTTTAGGCATAGGGTTTAGGGTTGAGGGTTTAGGGGTAATTAGGGTACTTATTTCGGGTTGAGGGTCTAGGGTTTGGGGTGCGTTTTTTACGTGTTTTTGGGTTGCAAGCATGACCAGGACCTGCATCTGTCATTTCCCGCCCACGCAGCTGAAGCCCTAACAACCCTAAAGACCCTATAAACCTACAAACCCTAAAAACCTTACAAACCCTGCATACCCTATAAACCCTACAAACTCTGTAAACCCTATAAGCCTTTTAAACTCTATAAACCCTGTAAACCCTATAAACCCGGTACTCGCCCTGAAAACCCTACAAACCCTGTAAACCCTGTAACCCCTAAGCCCTGAACACCTCTGCGCTGAAGGATCCTGATTTTCGGCACGTACGTTGTTGACTACAAGTGGATGGTTCTCCCTCTGGCCCGGGCCACAGTTGACGTCCGCAGCACCAGTATTGCGCATGCTGACACCGCCGTTCCACGCGCAGGACCCTGGCGACGAGACCCTAAACCCCAAACCCTAGACCGTACTTCCAGGGGCCTCGTCTTGCCCTCCAGATACTTGCTGATTCGCAGCCCTCTATGAGGTTTGCCGAGGCGTTATCACCAAGCGACACACATCCACACGTAAAGTCTTCGTGCGGTGTACGACAAGACAGGGCAGAATAGGCATCGCCTGACGCCATGTGAGTTTCAGATGGCGCCCAGGAGGCCATGAGGGGGGGGGGGGACGGGGGCTAGATTCCTGCAGCTCGGCAGGTGAAGGCATGGGGTTTGGGTAGGTAACTTTGAACCCTTTCCCTTTTTGGGCTTATATTTAGCCTCAGCCCCTAAGTCGAAGGCCCAGACCGCGAGTGGACTCTGCTTGTAGCAAGAAGCTTCATGCCCCTCTCAGCTCCAGTGACTTGTGGAGCCGATCAGGCGACGCTGGTGCTGCTGTTGCTGCCATGCCTCATCCCCTACAGCAGAGTCTTCAGAAGCCGGCTCATCGGAGGAGGACCTCGCACTCGGAGGAAGACCTTCCTAGAGAAATGAACAGTGGCTATTCGAGGAGCTGTGGCCTCATAAGTTTCTCACTGAGGGACTCGAAACTAGAGAACTGACCCACCATGAAGACTGACAAGACTGGAATCTTGACCCTCATGCCCCAGATAAAGGGCAGAGTTTTTTGGGTTTTCGCAACGTTTCCGCAGATGCAAATTGGAATGTCAGGATGAGGATGACTTCTGGCAAGAGTACGAGCGGAGGGAGTTCGACTCGTGACTTGCCCTGTGTCCAAGCCCAGTTCATTTTGAAGAAGCGTCATCGCCTCCCTCCCCATAGATCTTCGGACAATGATGCGCGCGCGATCTAGGGGGTTTAGGGTTTAGGGAAAAGTGTTGGGGGGTGGGGGGGGGGGGGGGGGGGGGGGGGGGGGGCCCTGGGGGGGGCCCTGGGGGGGGGCCCTGGGGGGGGGCCCTGGGGGGGGGCCCGGGGCCGGGGGGGGCCAGGTAACCAAGGTTGCTAATAGGGTTCGAACGAACATCAGATCCTATGCCTTCAAGCCTAAACCTTCAACCCCAAACCCCACAACTCCTTCCCTAAGGCCCCTAAACCCTTAACCCTAAGCGCTAAGCCCTCCTCGCCAGGTTTGCCTTCCCTCCAGCCAAGCTGTGCCCAGCCTTGTGTGCCTCCACGAGGGCCACCAGCACTTCTGGGGACGAGGCCACAGACTGCACACATAGGGTTTAGGGTTTGGGGTTTAGGATTTAGGGTTTGGGGTTTATATATTTGGGGTTTAGGGTAGTTAGGGCTCAGGATGTAGGGTTTAGGGGTTCAAGCCTCGGGCTTAGGGTTCGGTTGCGGGCCTAGGGTTTGGGGCTTCGAATTTAGGCCTCTGCCCGTTTTACATCGAACGTCCGTAAGACCGTAAACTGCCCCGAAGCACAACGTATTTCGGGTTTGGGGTTTAGGGTTGAGGGTTCCGGCAACCCTAAACCCTAAACCCTAAACCCTTGCGGCTGGACTGGGCAGGATGAAGGACTTCCGCGTCGGCGCTACCAGGGTCAGAAACATTGCCGGGAGCCCATTGTGAGGACCTGTTCATGGGTAGCGGCAAGTAGGCTTTTAAGTGGCCCTTCTGTACACTTCATTGAGTTTATGTGTGTATATATATATATATGTATGGTAGAGCTATATACCTATCTTGAACCCCAAACCCTAATGAACCCGAAACCCTATGTGTACCTGCACCCATGAACCTTCAAGTATGTCAGCGACCCGAAGCCCTAAGCCCTAAACCCCTACACCGGCACGGCATGGCAGCTTCCCGCACGGGATTTGGAGTGCCTAAACCTTAAACCCTAAATCCACGTATCCTAGTCGAGGTTTAGGGTCTTTAGGGCTTATGTTGCGAGGCAGAGCCCTTATAACCTAAGCTCTAGAACCCGAAGCCCTACAGTAGAACCCTAAACCCTGTAGCCTAGAACCTACAGCCCTAGAATGAACCCTAAACCCTAGAACCTGTAACCCTAAACCCTAGAACCGTACAGCCCTAAAGCCCTCCTAGAACCCTAAACCATAAAGCCCTAGAACACTGAACCCTATACCCCTAAACCCTAAACCCCTACAGCCCTAGAACCCTAGAACCCTAAAACCTAAACCCCCCGAAACCCTAGAACCCTAAACCCTAGAACCCTAGAACCCTAGAACCCTAGAACCCTAGAACCCTAGAACCCTAGAACCCTAGAACCCTAGAACCCTAGAACCCTAAAACCCTAAACCCTAAACCCTAAACCCTAAACCCTAAGCTTGCGAGTGCAAGGCTGGGATGAAGCTGATGGCGCAGGCATCAAGGCCCACCCTTTCTACGGCTTTTGGGCGTTAGGGTTTAGGGTTTAGGGCTTTTTGGGCGTTTGGGCGTTTGGGTTGAAGGTTTAGGGTGTTTAGGGTTTACAGGCTTAGGATTTTAGGGTTTAGGACTTAAGGGTTTGGGATTTTAGGGTTTAGGGTTTTAGGCTTCAGGGTTCAGGGCTTTCGGGTTTTAGGGTTTGAGGCTTGTAGGGCTTGAGTGGTTTCAGGGCTGTGGGCTTTCGGGCTAAAAAGGTTTTTGGCGCTTTTAGGTTCGGAGGTTGTGGGGGGTTTTAAAATGTAGGGCTTTGGGGCTCGAGGGTTTCAGGGTTTTAGGGCTTTAGGTCTTTTTTTAGGACACCGCTCGCCTTCGATCTGCAATGGTGGCAGCAGCGGGCTGCGGGCCACTTTAGCCATGTGAGGATGTGCAAGAAAGCTAGGGGGTTGCGTGTTGGGGCTGTTGGGGTTCAGGGTTTGGGGTTTAGTTAAAGGTCTTCCTTCGGACATGCCCGAAAACAATTTGCCCCTCAACCCCAAGCGTATCGCACTAGAACATGTCCAAAATTCCAGGGGGCTCGTGGGGGGGTAGGTACCTGGGGAGTCTTAGCGAGCCTTCGGGAGCAGTGGGGAGTATTAGGGAACATTGGGTTCCACTCTCCCTTTGAACTTCCCCCCTTAAGGACCCCAAACCCTAAACCCTAAACCCCAAACCCAAACCCCAAACCCCAAACCCCAAACCCCAAACCCTAAACCCCAAACCCTAAACCCTAAACCCCAAACCCCCCCATAATGGCTTGACAGGTGCGCGGCCCGAACTACTTGCACGATCGGAGGCGCAGCCTTCCAAAAACGAAGAGCTTGAAAGCCCGCAAACCCTAAACCCTAAATCCCCAAGCCCTAAACCCTAAACCCTAAACCCTAAATCCCTAAGCCCTAAACCCTAGACCCGCAACGCCCCTGAGACCCCACACTCCCGCCCATGAACCCCGCAAACTAGCCAGGCCCCAGACCCCAAACCCTAAGTTACGGCTAGGACCTGGAGTGGGCCCCTATTCCCTTTTTTTTAGGGTTTAGGTTCCCTTTTGAAGCCCGTTTAAACCAAAAAGGGCCACCTTTTTGTTCCTATCTATGTCACTCTTGGGTCTAGAAGGCCTTGAAGCCCGGCAAGGAAGTGCCAGACTGAGAGCCCAATGTTGGCACTGAGCTTCGTGGACGTCTTCCGTGGCAGGGACCGGGCGCAGTCTTGAGCCATCATGGAACAGTTTGTTGGGCTGTTAGGTTTAGGGTTTAGGGTTTAGGGTTTCAGGTTGGGGGGGTAGGGTTGAGGGTTTAGGCTTTTAGGGTTTAGGGTTTGGGGCTTAGGGGGTTACAGGGGTTGGGGTTTCGGGTTATCAGGGTTGGCAAAGTTGTTCGGTTTCAGGGGTTTATGGGGGGTTGGGGTTTAGGGTTCAGGGCTCATACAGTGGTATCCTTGGGAATTATGTGTTATAGCTGTTTATACAAACCCTAAACCCCAGACCCTAAGGAAAATGGGACATAGTGGGTTTTAGGGTTCTAAGGGAGTATTGTATAGGGAGTTAGGGGTCTCCCAATATTTGGGTTCAGGGTTCATGGGGTTAGGGTTTAGGAATTGGGGTTTAGGGTTTAGTGTTAGCGTCTAGGGGTTTTGGGCTGTTTGGGCTTGATTGATGTTAGCGTTTGTGGGGGGAGGGGGGGTCTATGACAGTTCCTCCTTAGGGTTCAGGATTTAGGGTTTAGGGTGATGTCCTAGGCTAGCAAACTCCCGCCTCAGCTCTGATCCCGAAACCCTAAACCCTCAGCCCTAAACCCTAAAACCCTAAACCGCAGGATCTGGAGTGCTTTAGCCGCAGCCAAAGGTTTCACTTTCAAGGCCGGCAGCGGGGTTTGAGTTTGAGGTTCAACAGTTTAGGGCTTTAGGGTTTGAACCTTTAGGGCTTTAGGGTCCTAGATGTTTAACAGTTTATTAGGCTTAGGGCTTTTAGGGTTCGAACCTTTAGGGCTTTAGGGTCCTAGATCCTGGCGCCTTTGTTTTTTTTGGTAGCTTCCCCAAACCTCAGACCCTAGACCCTAAACCCTAAACCCTAAACCCTAAACCCTAAACCCTGCAGCGCAGACCAGCCAAGCTTCTCGCTGATCCTGAACTTCCGCCTCCCGGACTCGCAGCTTGTGGCCTGCTGGTCCGTGCCCGAGGCCCCTTTCCGATGGCGGAGGGTTTAGGGTTCAGGGTGTAGGGTTTAGGGTTTAGGGTTTAGGGTTTAGGGTTTAGGTCTTCTAAGCCCCCACAATCTACCCTACCATGGCACTGTCAAGGGGTTATGGGTTATGGTCGCCCATCCTGGACAGAGGGAGAGCTAAGTGGCTCTTGTTCCTGTCTTTCTAGGGGTTCCAATATAAGGGTAGATGTGGCAACGGTTCGTACTATATCTTCATGTAGCAGTACCCATGACCCTCCAAGTATAAGCCAGAAACCAGAGTGCTAAATACCTCTTAATTTCAAATGCTTTTTCATGGTTTACAGGTTCTCTTGTAAGAAAACATGTCAAATTCAAGAGGAAGCCCTGTATATTCGTAGGTTCACTCCGCGGCCTAGTAAGGCCTGGATGGTCTTTACGGTACGGTCTAGGATTCCCAGTACGTAGTGCCCTTATTCCCCTTTTGGGGGTTTGGGTTCCCTTATAAACTCCTGTAAAGAAAGAAGGGCACCCTTGTTAATCCTAAGTCACGGGGCAGCTTGGGAGTTGTTCTGGTCTCTACACTGTACTTCTGGGCATTAGGCGAAGGCCTTTTCCATTTTAGAAGAGCGCGGTCGAGGGTTTAGGTTGGGATGCTCCCCCTTACGCCAACAGCCCCTAATAGGGATTCTAGTACCCCTAGTAGAATCCCTATTGAGGACTGTTGGATTCAGGGTTTAGGGTTCAGGGTTTAGGGTTCAGGGTTTAGGGTTTAGGGTTTAGGGTTTAGGGTTTAGGGTTTGGGTGTTAGCTGCTTTGCTTGGTCAGGACGCCGAGTGGCGGGAGTCGGCACAGGGCAAGCTCCTTCAGAGGCATCGGGCTCAGCAGTGGTGGCAAGGTCGTTTCGAACAGCTCCCTTATGTTTCTTGCTTAGCCAATAGTTGAACTTCAAACTTTTTGGGGTTTCCCTATTTAGTAGGAGAAATAAAGTTTAACCTTTTTCCGCTTGGTTGTTGGAGAAGTAAGGTTTGTTTTTTAAACCCCCACGGGAATATTAAAGCATGCGGTTTTAGTTACGGTTCTAAGGGAAGTATCGTCTTGGGGACTACCCAACACAAGGCTCTGCCACGATCGCCAAAAAAGTGCACACCTCTGGTTGTCAATGCAGCGCCGTTTCTGAAGGGCACCAACGGACGGTTGCTTTTTGGACCGCCCCCTTTTCTGCTGCCCTAAACCCCCCTCAAGCCTTCTAAACCACCTAAGCCCCCAAGGACCCCCCCCACCCTCTCTCAAACAAAAACAAACTAACAACCCCTCAGCCCCCCCCAAACCCTAAACCCGAAACCCTACACCCTAAACCCTAAACCCGAAAGCCCAGACCCCAGGTTCCTGCAAGAGATGGCCGCTCCCGAGCGTGACAAGCGCCTGGTGCTGAGGGGCCCAGGGGTTTAGGGTTTAGGGCAGTTTAGGGTTTAGTTTAGGGTTTAGGGTTTAGGGTTTAGGGTTTAGGGTTTAGGGTTTAGGATTTAGGGTTTAGGGTTTAGGGTTTAGGGTTTAGGGTTTAGGGATATTGGGATATTGGGGGGGCGTCCTCCGACCCCTTACTTCAGGAGCTTTGGGAGTTTGGGAGTTTAGGGTTTAGGGTTTAGGCCCCTTACTTTAGGAGGTTTAGGAGCTTTGGGAGCTGGAGGAGTTTTTAGGAGTTTTGGGAGTGTTAGGAGCTTTGGGAGTTTTAGGAGTTTCGGGAGCTTTAGGGAGTTTAGGGGATGTTGAGTACCAAGCTGTCCCCCTACACATCCCTCGAAGGGACTGATCTGGGGAGCTTAACTTCTGGGGAGCTTCACTCCCAAATTCTCTGCCGCGACGCGGCAAGCTGCAAGGCCTGAAGCTCATCGCGAGAGTTCTGGAGGGCTCCTTCATGCTGAAGCAGGCGGTGCCCTTTACCCTAAACCCTAAGCCCTAAACCCCAAACCCTAAACCCTAGGCCCTAGACCCTAGACCCTAAACCCTAAAATCTGTCCTAAGCGTAGAACCCCCCCCCTCTCAGCAACAGCACCAATCAAAACTTACTGGGATCATGACCCTAAACCCGCGTTCCCGAATGCCCTACTAAGATCCAGCGAGCAACCCTATGGGTTTAGGGATTAGGGTTTAGGGTTCAGGGTTTAGGGTGTAGGGTTACTAAACGTACCTAAGGGTTTAGGGTGTATAGGGTTGAGGGTTTTAGGGTTTTTAGGGTTTTAGGGTTTAGGGTTTCCCTAAAAAACCCTAAAACCCTCAACCCTATACTTGAGGGTTTTAGGATTTTAGGGTTTAGAAAACCCTAACTCCGAATCCCAACAAGATCTGGCAAGCAAAAGAGATCAGGCAGTGGGGAGCAAGCCGGCCATCATCGCAAATCAGTGCAGCTCCTGGCCTGCACATCCCCTAAACCCTAAACCCTAAACCCTAAACCCTAAACCCTAAACCCTAAACCCTAAACCCTAGGGCTTGGGGCTTAGACTTGTAGGGGGCTTGGGGTTTAGGATTTTTGAAGTTTAGGGTTTAGGAGTTTGGGGTTCAGTGTTTGGGGTTTAGGATTTGGGGTTTAGGAGGGTTTAGGTCTTAGACCAGAAGCCCCCAATGTAGCCAACCCCCACCTGGCAGGGTTTAGGGTTGAGGATTAGGGCTTAGTGTCCCTAAACCACAAACCCTGAACCCCAAAACTTTCTTGTTCCATGGCTAGCAGTTCTGGTCAGAACCGAAGTGGTCTTCAGAGCATCTGAGCCAGGAATCACGTACTTTGAGCAGAAGGACACAGGGTTGAAGGGGCTTCAGAAGGTCGGGGTTTAAATGGGACTTTTGCAGACCTTTGGAAACCCTAAACTTATAACGCTTAACGCTAAACCCCAAGGTCGGCAGCCTTGTCTACTTGGAGTCCTTGATGGGCTCGGCTGAATGCACAGTCCCGAGAATCTCAAGCATGTTTTTTTTTACCCTAAACCCTAAACCCTAAACCCTAAACCCTTTAGCATTGGAAACAGGCCACATATAAAGTCACAGATAGTAGTACATTTATTCTTAGGGGGGTTCTTAAGCAACCAGTAGACACTCCAAGATGTGAACCAATAGCCACACATGCCGGATCACGTCGGATCCAAGCGAGGGTCGCTATGTCAGGAGGCAGTCTCATCTGAGGTACGGGTTTAGGGTTTGGGTTTAGGGTTTAGGGTTTAGGGTTTAGGGTTTAGGGTTTAGGGTTTAGGGTTTAGGGTTTAGGGTTTAGGGGAGGTACATGCCCTTCGAGGCTTGTCAGCGTATCCAGGAATTACTTCCGGCCATTCCCCCTAGCAACATCCTCGGCTTTGGCAGACGTACTCTAACCCTAACCCCTAAGAAGCGCGCCACCCAAAGTATAAGCGTTGAACCCCAGACAAGCACTAAGCCTGAAACCACTGAACATACCATCTTTTTTTTTTCAGCCGTGTTTTTGTTTAACGTTTTCTTTATTTTTGTAATACGTGTACGCAATTTAGCAACAATGATTGCTTTCAGCGGCAGGAATTCCTCGAGGCTTCCGTTGACATGGCGGATTCGGCTATGGGCCGAAGGCTGCGAGGCGGGTAACGCGCGAGTGTTGGGATCACCTTTATCCGTTTATCTACTTTGCTTAAGAACCACCACCCCCCCCCCCCCCCCAAAAAAAAAAAAAAAAAAAAAAAGTATATATATATATATATATGAAATTTCGTTAGACAGGTTTATTATAGGATCTAAGGTTACAGTTTGCACAAGAGCCACCCAAGAGTTTAAGAGCTTTCTGCTTCCTGGGTTACTCTGGGGTATGGTTGTCGTGCTCTAGGGGACGCTCAGACTATGGGGTCCCTAAGCCCTATAAACCCAAAACCCTAAACCCCCAGAAACGGCTTAGTAAAGACCTGGTTGACCCTTTTAACCTACAGGGATTCCTTTTGGGGAGCTCCCAACGTCTTGGTCCCTGAACCCTACTATAACCCCTACAAAACCCTACAAACAAAAACCCATAAACCCTATAATCCCTCATAGGGTTCTCAAAACCCTATGAAGCCCGAAAAGAGCCCCATTAACCCCTGTTTAAAAAAGTCACTAATCCAGAAGCCCCAGACCCTTAACCTAAGTTCAGGCATCTTTGTTGTCACTAAGCCCTAAACCCTAAACCCAACCCCCAAACCCCAAACCCTAAACCCTAAACCCTAAACCCTAAACCCTAAACCCCAAACCCCAAACCCCAAACCCCAAACCCTAAACCCTAAACCTAAGTTCAGGCATCTTTGCCGATGGCTCCTCGGCCCTGGAACTCTTCGTGTTACTTGAGGCGGGGCCTGGGGCGCTGAATCCCAGCGCCCAGTGGAGCGGGCGCGAGGTGTAACATAGGGGTTTAGGGTTTAGGGTTTAGGATGAATAATTACTCACAGTATTCCCTTATGGCCCTTTTTACTTATACTACAATAACCGCCCTCCCCCCCCCCCCCCCCCCCCCCCCCCTAAACGCTATTCTATTTATTCAGGCCCCTATATTACAGAGGGTTAGGATCTATAAAACCCGAGCTTGAGGGCTTGTCGCTTGTAAGTTCCTTAAACCCTAAACCCTAAACCCTAAACTTGAGTTTTGTTTTTCTGCTTGTGCGTTTTAGGGTTTGGTGTGTTTTTCTTTCGGGGCGAGACAGTTTGGGGACAGAAGACCTTGCACCCTGCACCTTTACTGTGAGGGGGATCGGGAGGTGGAGGATCTGGGGTTTAGGGTTTAGGGTTTGGGGTTTAGGGTTTAGGGTTTAGGGGCGGGCCGTTAGAACTGCTAGGCTTCACCTAGGAACACCCAGCCTTGCCTCGACGTTCCTTTCTCAAACCCCAAAACCCTAAACCCCTTAAGATCCCTAAACCCTAAACCCTAAAGCCCTTAGAATCCCCAACCCCTAAAGGCCCAGAGCCCTAATGTGTTCCCGGCCGGATGGCTTCCTGCGTCTCCGCACAGAGCCGAACTTAAACCCTAGCCTCCAAACCTCCTAGCCCTCCTTCAAGTAGCCCTAAGCCAAAACCCCAAAGCCTCAAACCCTAAACCCTAAACCCCAAACCCTAAGCCCCCAAACCCTAAACCCCAAACCCTAAAAACCCTAAACCCTTAAACCCCAAAAACCCCAAACCCTAAACCTAAACCCTCTACCCCAATGAAGAGCCAAAATTGAGGGCCTGCAGCCTGACGAGCTGCCCGAGCGCCTGCTTGGTGGGCTCCGGTGCCAAGTTGTTTTAGGGGGGGGGGGGGTTAGGGTTTAGGGTTTAGGGTTTAGGGTTTAGGGTTTAGGGTTTAGGGTTTAGGGTTTAGGGTTTAGGGTTTAGGGTTTAGGGTTAGGGCCCCGTAAGCCTTGGAGGGTTTAGGGTTCAAGGTTTAGGGTTTAGGGCAGGGGGCTTAGTATAAATCTTGGTTGGTTTTGGGGTCGTCATGTTTAGGAATTGAGTTTGGGTCGGGGGATGATCTCGGGATCATTGCGTGCGACATGCTCTTGACACATTGGGCAGAGTAAAGTGCCCTTTCGGACTTTCTTAAAATGCAAACTTAAAAGCTTCGGTTTAGAGCATGAGGGTGGGAGAGAGGATACCCTAAACCCCTAATTACACCTCTGCACCGCTACAGGGCTTTGGGCGCCTTCAACCCCAGAGCCGCCGAGCTCTGGGCCCCCCCGGGGCTGAGGCTGGCCCTGTGCCACGTCGACATGCGCAACGTGGCCGAGCCTGGACACGCCTGAGCTCGGAGGTTTAGAATCCCGCCAAAAGAATACCAGGGAACAGGCCCTACATTGCCCTTACAAGGAAGACTCTTAGTTTCTTTTGGGGGGGCGGGGGGGTGGGGGGTCTTAAGCAAAATAGTGGCCTTAGACCCTATAAACCTATGTACCGCAATAGAGGGGTCTGTGCAGCAGCCTCTCCCGGAACACGTTGCACGTGCGTTGCGCTGAAGCCGGTTGATCAAAGAATCGACTGCTTTGCTGAACTCTGGCAAGACGTCGGGACTCAGTTTCTTCGAAGCGCGCCACGCATACAAACAAAGCTTTGCTGCCAGAGCCACAGAAAGCATGCTGCCAGCTGAACCCTAAACCCTAAACTCCCTGGCGCGCTCTTCAAGTCCTTTTCTCAAGGTCTGGTCGTCATCGACCAGGTTGGAGCGCGCCTCGTGGCACTACGTCCTGTATCCTGTCGTCCTCATAGGCACGGGATGTTGAGTGGGGCAGTGAACAATGGTAGGAGCAATCCCTTGAAGGCTTTTCGTTCCTCGTCCTGGTGCAGCCTTCGTCTATATGCCGTTTCCGGTACAAGGCTCTCTAGCTTCGCAGCTTATGCTCAGCTCGTCTGGCGAGAAATTTCAGACCTCGGTGGCGCTGTGCGAAGCAGCCTTGCAGGCGCAGCTATTGCGTGGTGTCGGAAGAACATGTCTGGTTGGCACCTGAGTTCCCGGTTTCCGCACCTGGGTTCCCATTCTTGGCACCACTTGTAGCCAGCCATGTAGGGCTGCCCGGGCCAGTTTCACCATGCGCGAACGCTGGAGGGTTGTTTTGCCATGTTCCTCTCCCTACAGCACTGTTGCAATGCACGCTGCAGTTCACGCTGCATCAGGCTCCGTTTTACGCTGTCAGCTTCTGTGACAACATGATCGGCTCACGCCCCGGAGATCACGAGTTGGTTGCTTTTGGGTATCCATGGAATGGACACGCAACCCTAAACCCTAATCCCTAATCCCTAATCCCTGCCCAGGTGATGTGCTAACGAGTCTGGCCAGACCCCTTCGGGACCGGCTGCATGGAAGCCGTTGACCAAAGACGGGGTAGCTTGGTGGTTGAACATTTGAGGGTTTGGCCGTGCCTTTGGTGGACATCCGCGCCGTATGCGCCGTTAGACGAAGGCAGTTTCAAAAAGCATACTCCTGTTGCCCAACCTACTTTCATACGGGACCAGGGTGTTAGGGCCCTTCAAACAGGCTTACGAAGGGCTTCTTGTAAGGCCAAGCATCCCCCTCAAGGGTTTAGGGTTTAGGGTTTAGGGTTGGTACTTGCCAAGCAGTTGCCAGCCCCCCAGCTCACCTGGCATCGCAGGATGTGCCGGCGGCCATTTGTTACCTCAGCGCCGGGCTGAGACTGGCGCACGCGGGCAGGGTATATAGATGATAAGAATGGATAGATATGTGATGTGTGTATATATGTACATATACATATATACATACATTCATACTTCATATTCAAACAGGAACCCCCCCCAAAAAAAACAAACAAAAAAAATGGGGGGGGTTTCTCATGAAGGAACCCCGCACGCAGTGTGGCAAACACTCAGCGCGCGCCGCATGAGACGCGAGAGCCGAGGCTCCCATCATCCACAGCTGCAGTCGTCCATGGAACCTTGGGTTTGGGGTTTAGGGTTGAGGGTTTAGGGTTTAGGGTTGAGGGTTTAGGGTTGAGGGTTTAGGGTTTAGGGTTTAGGGTTTAGGGGCTTGGTAGCCCAGTGGTGCCCTTTTGCCCTGTTGGCTGGTTCAAGACTCCCTTGTCTGAAGTAGCCAACCCCGAAAAGGGTGCCCTTATGGCATGGTTACTGGGCTACTAATTCCCTAAACCCTAAACCCTAAACCCTAAACCCTAAACCCCAAGGAACGGTTCATCCGCAACGGGAGCACATGCCCGGCTTGGGAGACGCACTACGTGCAGCCACTGATAGGAGGGGCTCCTTTCTGGTTCCGGCTGCTCCAGCGCCTCACTGGGGTTTATAAGGGTTTAGGGTTTAGGGATGTTTAGGGTTTAGTGTTTAGGGTTTAGGGATTTGTAGGGTTTAGGGTTTAGGGTTTAGGGGTTAGGTTTAGGGTCTTGGCAGCGCAGTGGTACCCTTTGCCCCTTTTTGTTGGTTCAAGGTTCCCTTGTAAAGTAATCAACCCCAAAAAGTCTACCCTTGCAGTAGTATGGTTGCTGGGCCACTAAGGTGCGCGCGCAGGTACTATGACACTGGCCAAAGCCGCCATCTGTTAAACCTGGGGAAGTACGCTGCCAGCCTTCTCGTGGTCGTGATCAGCAAGACAGGTTACGAGACGTGGGTCGTTGTGCTGGTCTCGGCGGTCGCCACGCTCTATGCGGCGATTTGGGACGTCACCATGGATTGGGGCCTGGGCTTCGAGGAGGTTTTTTTGGGCCGCTTCAACGCCATGCAGGGTGAGGGTGCCCGGATGCTGGCCAGCCCCCGAAGCTACACGGGCGAGGCCCCCCCTTCACCGCAGTCCGGCTCTTGGCACGACTTGATGGGCCCCACGCGGCCCAGCCAGCCCCAAAGGCATTTCCCCCGAAGCCTCTACTACACCTTCATTCTCATGGACATCGCCTTGCGGCTGACGTGGGTGCTCACCCTGATGCCTGTCACGATCCTGTCTGAAGACATTGTGGTTCGCGAGATCCTTCATTGCTTCATGACCGTGGCCGAGATATTCCGCCGCACCTTCTGGGCGATCCTGCGTATTGAGTATGAGCAGGTGGCAAATGCCAGTGGCTACCGAGCCTTGCTGTGGGTTCCTATGAAAGTGGGACAGCGCGCCGGCGAGACGGAGGTACGGTCCGCGAGGAGCAGGAGAAGCAGCTTCGCGCAGCGGTTGCTCCACTAGAGGGGCGGACAGCTGACGGATCTGACTCTACTGGTGACTCGTGCGGCCATGTTAATGAGCATTATGATTTTAGCGTTACTCTAGCACCAGGCCTACCAGGCCTGCCCTGTACCTTCCAAGAAGTTGCAGTTGCACAAACAAGGCGGCTCGCCAAGGGCGGGCGCAGGGACAGCGTGTGCAGAGTTCTTTGTGCCCCTAAACCCTAAACCCTAAACTGTTCAGGCAGCACACCAGCCTGATGCGTCTCCTGGCTCAGATGGATGACATATCAGTGGTGACAGATTGTTTGGCATCGGTTCGTGAGCCTCTTAAACGGCCAAATGGGGGGGGGGGGTTATGATAATAATGGGCCCCTAATATAATAGTAGTATCCTTGCATACTGAGGATCTCAACATGGTACCTCAAATATCCCAAGACCCCATGTATGTCTGGTTCTGTCTGTATAAGACTGTGCTCTGTTTGGGCACATCGTTAGTCGCCATGGCTTACAGCGATGCAGGCCTGGCCCAACCACACCACGACATGGGTTGGTAAGAGATTCATGAACCTTCTGAACTGATCCGCCTCAAGCTCATCATAATGTGGGGGGGGGGGGGGGCTCGAAACTAGAAGGGAACCTTTTTTGGGGGGGTCATCTTTCCTGTAGTACGGAGACCCCATCTTGCAGGACCGTGCAGCTGTTGCAGCCAGGCGCTGGTACTCACAGGAGCCACAGATTTTCACCGTTCAACCGGGCATTTTCGCCACTTGTTTCAGGCACCTACATGGTCCACGGCGAGCTCGCCTGCACAAAGGACTCCTAGTAGTAGAGTAGGGTTTAGGGTTTAGGGTTTAGGGTTTAGGGTAACCTTTAACCTTTTTGGGGTAGTATAATTCCCTCATAATCCCACAGGTTAATCTGCAATTCCCCCAGGTTACTGGATAATTAGGGACTCCGCCCACGCCTTCACGTACGTTGAATGCCTCAGCCGTCGTTTGTCGAGAGTTCGGGGGCAATGTGTAGAGGACATCAATGATGTCGACCAACTGTATCCTTTCTTTTTTTGCTAGATATGTGTACCGTGGGAGACATGTCTGCTGTTGTCGAAGCACGGCGACGCCACGGTCCTCCACCCAGTTTCGGTCATCACAAGCACATCAAGAGGCTGACAAATCTCATGGTTTTGTTGTGGTGAAGTGCCACAAGAAAGTGTCTCCACAGGAATGTTGCTGGAAACCAATTCTCGAGACTCAAAGCTTTCTCAATGGCAAGTCAGAGGACCGACCGTTCTGATTTGTTTCAAGGTCCGCCACTTGTCTGAAGGTGGCATTGCATGCGCCATGTCACATTTTAAAGCGTTGAAAACCGTGGCAGATCATCCCACAGCGCAGTGGGTTTGACCCTAAACCCGAAACCCTAAACCCTAAACCCTCTGGAGGACGATCTTGAAGCACTTGTGCCCATTGAATTTTGAGAATCCCAATCCCTAAGCCCCAGACCCAGTGAGGTGGCCCGCCGGTGCCATGCAGTCCGACTGCCCCATGCAAATCTCAGCCGCTCCCCTGTGGCTATTCCGCCTCTGACGCCAGACTCTCAAGACGGTTTTCAAGACTCGCCCTTAAACTCTACAAAAGCCCGAAACAAACCTTAACAAACCCCAAATGGACCCTATAAACCGTATACAAAGCCCCAAGCCCTAAACCCTCCTGCTACTGCGAAGGACGGACGTTGCCAAAGCCTTGGCAAGGAGGCTGGGCCATAACGACAGGGGCCTGAATAGTTGGAAGAGGGTTTGGGGGAGTATTGTAGTATAATCATAAAGGGACCCTAAGGGAATACCATCACCATTTATTCCGACCCCTATATTACGCTGGGCTCTGGTCTCAGCCAAAATGGCCCTGTAAAGGGCCCTGTACTGACGGATTGCGGTTCCTGAGTCCCGCCCGGATTTAGACCAAAGGCGGTAGGCCTCGCTTGGCTGCTGAAATTTTATGCGACCCGCCGCCGGGAGTGGCCTTTGCCGAAGGGGTGGCTAAGAGCAGTGGGGTGGGGGATGGATGGGGGGGGGGGTGGAAGCCGTCCTGACGAACCGTCCGTTCTCGGATGCTGGTCGGCGAGGGCTGGGTACCCATTTCAGGCAAGAAGTGCGGTGGGCTGATTGAAGGCTCCCAAACTCGGAGGTCCCGGTGGATCAGCGCACTACTTCTGGTGGTTGAAGAAGGGTTGGCAAAGCCCGATTTCGTGGACGGACGACAACATACCACGGAGGATGGTAACGGTGTGGCTGGTGGTAGTCTGGTAGTGGTAGTGAGTGAGGATGAGGACGATGACCAAGGAGCGTGAGCGGACCCTGCTTTTGCTGCATCTTTGGTGCTGCAGCCCTGAAGCCCTTGTCTGGCGAACCTAACTTCGGTGCTAGGCAAAGACGAGACTCCGAGTCAAGGCAGGGCGCGCGTGAGCCTGAGCAGCTTGGGGATACCTCGGAGGTTTTCAGAGCAGGGCACGGAGTCACACGCATGAAAGGCCAAGAAAGGTGCTGCGTGCCGCCGCTCCGGAAGGACTTGAAGCACTTGGGGACGAGTTCGTCTTTTGCCGTTGCCAATCTTTCAACTCGTCGCAGGACCTCCCCATGGTCCAGCTAGACCTCGATCTGCTTCCGTGATGAGCTGAGCAAGGTTGCAGGTATGGTTGACGGGCTCTAGACGCAATCCTTGCGAAGTTGTGTGGTGGGCAGCAGCATCCCATGCAGACTAGCCATATCAAGGGAGAGATGAAGCAGGGTACATATTTCTGTTTCTGGTGAGCATATAAGGTTCCTTTTTAATATTGGTGAGTGTATATACCTGGTGTCCCTTTGGGGGTACAAGAAATATATACCCTACTTCATATAAGACTCTCTCTCCCGGTCACATCCTGAGACCCTGGCCCAAACTCAGCAGAATAACTCACAGAGACAGAGGGTTTGTGTCGAGCGAAGTGTCTGAGCGAGCCCCATGGCAGTACAAATGACATCGGAAACAGGATGTTAGTACCAGCGAACACGGCCTGCAACCGCGTCAGCTATAAGCCTCATGAATCTTGATAGCCCAATGGTACCCTGTGCCCCTTTGTTTGGTTATAGGTTCCCATCATAAAGTAGCCACCCTTTGCTGTATTGCAGTATGGTTATTGGGCTATATAAGTTGATGATGGTCCAGTTTCTTATGTTTCACCCTAACACCCGGCGTCAGGGTTTGGGGTATACACCTTCAATCGCATGCCATGAAGGTCCCAATTTTTGCAATCCAGTCTCAGCCCAAGAGAAGCACATGGAGTTAGTGAACGTAGTGAGCGTGATGACCATAAGAAAGGTTGGTACGCCTTTATCAGCAAACTTGGCACGTGTAGTCTAGCAGCAGAGGCAACATGAGGGTTTTTAAACGAGGAGGGTTTTTAAACCCTAAACCCGAAACCCTAAAACCCTCTCCGAGTTTTAAAAGCCCTCTGCTGCAATCATTTGTTTTGTTGGCAGCCGTTCGCTCCAAGGTGAGTGCAGCCTTGGAGCGAGCACTGGCCTTTGCGCGGACCTTGTGTGGTAATTTACAGTGAGAGAGAGAGAGAGACACATATAAATACATAAATACAACGACATAAAAATGTATATGTATATATACATATATGTGTGTGTACAGTTATGATCACAGTAGCCACGCAGAATTAATAATGCGTTGTAGTGGTAATATACAGTATGTCCTGTATTATAGTACATCACGCGTTATCATTATAGTGCATCGTAGAATATCGTAGAATGCCAGCTCATAGTTTAAATCATATTACCGTACATTTTGGCATCGTGTACTCGCACATTGTCCACGCAACAGGAAAGCTACCCAACCCCCTGCAGGAGGATCCCAAAAGTAGGTTGCTAAGCATGCTTTCGTAGTGGTATAGGGTACCATTTGCGGGTTCTACTCTTTGGATCCTCCCAGGGGTCTGGGTACGCATAACAGAAGCGGGAACCGTTGGATCATGGCCCAGGGCGTGGAGCTGCCGCAGAGCTTGGATCTTACCGTGTTCCAAGACCAAGATGGGCTATTGGACCCTATAACCCCTAAGAAAAAGGCCTCCGTAGAGCTGTTTGTGTGGGGGAGGGGGGGCGATGTGTGAGCACGTTAGCGGGACTCGACTCGCGCATGCGGCTTCGGTTGATGGTTGGTGGGTCAACAGATGTACTGTGAGCATACGCCCAATGTGGACATGACAAGGACAGACGTGGGAGTAGCAATAGCATCGTACCATTTACCTATATGTTATAATACGTTCATGAAATCATAGCAAACAGCAACAATGGTATCCATGATGAGAACAGTAGCCACACTCGTAGTAATAGCAAGAGTGGTAATACGAATCAAAACAATGGTACCACTTCGGCAAAAACAAAAAAACAGGGCTCGGGTTGCAACACCTCCCTGGATTTTTAAGGACCTTGCAGTCGCCCGTCGCCACGCATCCGCGGCGCCGCATACATGTGCGAGCCTGAGGATTCAGGGTCTAGGGTTTTAAGGTTTTTTTTGCCCACCTTCGGTGTGGGGTTGTTAGTTTTTAAACTCAACTCTTCTCCTCGCCCGGGAACTCTTCTCCTCGCCCAGTCTACTCCGAGAGAGTCCCTGGAGTGCCCAACCAGAAACTTCCTGGTTCACCCAGGGAACCCTCAACTGCCCAATTTAGAGACTGGAGTGCCCAACCCAAGACGCCTGGAGTGCCCAACCTCAGAGTCTCCCTGGAGTGCCCATTCTCCCTAAAGTGCCCAACCCCGCCCAGAGGCGTGCCCAACCTCAGAGTCTCCCTGAATGCCCAACCCAGAGACTCCAGGAGTGCCCAACTCCAGAATCTCCCTAGAGTGCCTGCCTGGAGTGCCCAACTTTAGAGACTCCCTGAAATGCCCAACCCCAATCCAAACCCCTAAGGTGGGGATGTTCGAAGTAAAACGAGCGACCACTTTATTACGTTGCAGGAGGTTTCTTGTGGCGGAGATAAAAACCCACGTTCATGCCTAAAACCTCGGAAAGCGATAGCCCCCCCCCCCAAAAGCGATACCCTCGATCTTGACTCTAGTAGTCGTTCTGCAGAAATGTCATGATTTCGTGGTTGGGTCTTGTTCCAGAGTGATACTTAAAGCGATACCTCTACGATACCCATTTTGCCACCCGAAGAGCTGGGCAAAGGCCCTGGCCCAGGTTGAGGGTTCGAAGTTTAGGATTTGGATTTATGATTGGAGCAGCGGGGGCTCCAGTTCCTAGAAAAGGAGCACTCTCACTCTTTAGTCTATAAGAAAGGAAACGGGTTCAGGAATTCAGGTGTATTTAGGGGAGGGTTCCAGGTTTAGGATCTCATAAGCAGTAAAGCGATAGGTTTTCGTAGTAGCATTGAGCCAAAGTCCCATAAAGCGATAAGGCCCACCCCAAAAGCGATACCCCACGTTTTTTTAATCAGCATTTACATAAGATTTTTTTGCGGCTGCTCAAACAACTTTGAAGGCTTATCAGGATTTCCAAGGGTTTTTGGTGTTTTTTGAGGGTTGGTTTCGGGTTTTAGGGTTCAGGGCATCGCCTGCGCGTCGCATCAGCGTCGTGCCTTGTTTCTTGCTTTCCTGTGCCGAAGATTTCCGTGCACTCCCCTTCCTTATAGGGGGAGGTTCAAGGGGGGCATGCAAGCCAAGGTTCCCTAGTACTCCCCACTTCTCCCTAAGACTCCCTAGGCTTGCCTAAGGCTCCTTAGGTACCTACCCCCCTTGAACCCCCCTCCCTTAAGAACCCTATAACTTCCCCCCAGCCCCCCAACTCCCGGCGAGGGTCCCCTCTAAGTCAGGCGATATCTTCCAGGTTTACATATAGGGTTTATAGGGTGTAGAGTGTAGAGTTTAGGGGTCCAGGTTGAGCCCTCAACACTGCGATGTGTATTTCAAGCGGGGAGGGGAGGGGAGCTTGCCCTAAGCCGTTACAAACCCTTAGCCCTCTAAACCCTAAACCCTATAAACCCTAAACCCTTGTAAACCCTAAACCCTTTTAAACCCTGAACCCTGTATAAAGCCTAAACCCTAAACCCCAAACCCCAAACCCCAAACCCCAAACCCCAAACCCCAAACCCCAAACCCCAAACCCCAAACCCCAAACCCTAACCCTAAACCCTAGACCTAAACCCTTTTAAACCCTAAGCCCTTCAAAGCCTAAACCCTCTAAACCCTACGAACCCGGTGGCGCGCCCAAGGCCCCCGCCAGTTGGGGAGCCCTGCAGGCCGTACCGCAAGGAGCCGATTTGCGCAGGTTTCTGCAAATAATTAGGGGTTTATAGGGGTTTATAGGGTTTTATTGGGTTTTATAGGGTTTATAGTGCTTATGAGATTTATGGGGTTTGTAGGGTTTTGTCGGCTTTATGGGGTTTGTAGGGTTGGTAGGATTTTTATCCGGTTAATGGGGTTTATAGGGCCCCACAGGATTTATACAGGGGTTAGAGTCTAGGATTTGGGGTTTAGGGCTTAGAATCTGGGTGCCTTGTGGAGTTAAAACTCCTGGATGGGGCTTTGTAGTTATTGCCTCCAAGAAAGTAGTGGGCTTGGGGTTCTTAGGGTAGGGTTTAGGGTGTATACGGTTTAGGGCTGAGGGTTGAGGTTGCAGCTTCTTTGGGAGTGCTCAATTATCGTCGTTATACTTTTGGGGTACATGAAGGGAGACCCGCCTTCGGGAAGGTCTGTGTGTTGCTGTGGCGAAGAGTTTTGAACGAGAGGGACCCCAAACCCTAAACTCCACCCAAAGGCTCCTATGTCGCCTATGTCGTACTGTTTTGGGGTGGTATACTAGAATCCCCTCCCTAAACCCTAACCCCTAACCCCCTATAACTAGTTCCCAAAAAGGAACTACATTGGAGCCTTTCGGGTAAACCCTGATAATTCCGCTGTGGTGCTTTATTGTGACTTTAGATCATTAGCCTTTTTGGGTTTATTGGGTTTCTTGGCAAGGCAGCTTTCAAACAAAAATAAATTTATAGCTACCCTGCCAAGTGCAGCCAAGATCCCTATAGGGTTTAGGGTTCAGGGTTCAGGGTTTAGGGTTTAGGGTATACACTCTAAACCTAACGGCTCCTTCGCAGAGCTGCGGCTTGCGCTCTAAGGGTGCACCCTCAATGTGGTCCCTGACTTTCAAGGGTTCTGAAGTATGGGCCCTAGGGATGTGGGTTTAGGGTTTAGGGTTTAGGGTTTAGGGTTTAGGGTTTAGGGCCCATAGGACCCTGTATCTACCCCAACATGCGTGCCAGGGTTGCAACGCGGGTTCAAGGTTCCCTGTAGGAGTGTGCTTGTCAACGAGGGCCCGGAGGAAGGCTGAATTTCCCCAATAGGGACTTTAACTAGAAGTATAGGGCATATGGTTCAGATTACCCTACTAGGGACTGTCAAGTAATAGTAGCTTTGGGTCGATGACCCCCCCCCCCCCCTCATTTTAGGGTTTAGGGTTTATAAGGGTTTAGGGTTTAGGGTTTAGGGTCTTCCAAGCATGGATCTGCCCCGCGACTTGCTGTGCCAGAGACTGATTGACGACACTCGCCGCGCGATTGAGGAAAAGGGGCCATCCCTGGTTCGCCAAGCCGGGCTCCTTATAGGGATACCTGGAAACATGTTTTGGGGCTCTTTCGCTTTTTCTAAGAAACAGCAAGAAGTATGTGTCTTGGGTGCTTGAATTCCTAAGAAGCAGCAAGAAGCATGATTTTTTGCTGGGGTTCCAAGTTCAGTTATAGGTTCGTGTACCAGTTCAACCTGCGTAATGGGCCGCAGTTCACCCTGGATCTGAAGCACGGCAAAGGCTCCTTGCAACCCGGCGTGGACCCGCGCGCCGACGTCATCTTCAGCATCTTGGATGCGGACCTAGCAGCGCTGGGAGGCGGCACGCTCTCCGTGACCAACGCGCTTCGCCACGGGCGGCTGGAGATCAAGGGCGACCAGCTCGCGTCGCAGGTGCTCAGCGAGGTTTTGGAGAGGATCCGCCGAGAGTACGACCCGGAGTACGCGCCGCCCGACGTGGTGTCGGACGACACGGCGCGGCGCTGGCGGATCGGCGCTGCGGTCTGCTGCCTGCTGGTGGTGGCCCTGTGCATCGTGGTGGTGAACCCTGCCCAGGTGAAGGCTACCTCCGGGGGCCCCCGGGAGTTAGAGGTGGTGGCGCACATGGCCGAGGGCAGCCTGCAGAAGATCTCGAATGGGGCCGTCAAGAAGCTTCAGATGTTCACCTCCCGGGCCTTCTCCGAGCTCATGCCCTGGAAATCCTCCCTGGGCTTCACGCCCACAGCCTCGGACGTGCTCGTGGCGGGGAGCATCTTTGTCACAGTTGGGTAACATATTCCATTTTAATAAGGGTACTTAAGCCCAACACGGAACAAACAACTATATTGTTATAAGGGTACTTAAAACCCAATAAGGAATAAACAAGTATATTTTTTTTAATGCCATCCCAACCATGAACTAGGCATGGGAGCCGGCACCACCTGGCTCAGCTTCGTCCTGCATGGCCTGCGCACCGAGAACTCCCTGGACTTCGAGGACCTGAACCAGGTTCCTCAAGAACCCCAGGGTTGAAGGGTTGAGGGTTTAGGGTTTAGGGGTTTAAGGGCTTAAGGGTTTAAGGGTTTAAGGGTTTAAGGGTTTAAGGGCTTAAGGGTTTCAGGGTTTCAGGGTTTTGACAAAACGCATGCCCGGGCATCAGAGAATGGGCGGGGTGTCACACGAGCCTACAGCAACCCTAAAGCCCTAAACTCTAAACCCTACAAACCTTCCCTAAACTGGAAAACCCTAAGCCCCATGCCCAAGGCAGGTTTGGATGATTCTGAACAGGTTCAAACCCTAAGCCCTAAACCCTAAGCCCTAAGCCCTAAGCCCTAAACCCTAAACCCTCCCTAAACCCCAACACCCGAAACCCTAAGCCCCAAACCCTCCTGAGCCCTGAGCCCTGATCCCTCGGCAAAAAGGTTTGGATGGTTCTGTGAAGAACTAGAAACCCTAAGAGCCCTAAGCCCTAAGACGTCCCCTAAGCCCTAAGCCCTAGGTAGGTTTGGATGGTTCTGTGAAGGTGGTGGCATGGTACGATGCCCTCGGGTCCAAGAGGGGCCCGGAGATGCTTTCTGGCCAGCAGGGGCAGGAGTTTCGCATCCTCAAGTCCCACCACGTGCGCCTGGGAGTCGCTTAGAAGCCCCTGTTAGAGGCCCCCCCTTGTTTGGGTTTAGGGTTTAGGGTTTAGGGTTTAGGGTTTAGGGTTTAGGGTTTAGGGTTTAGGGTTTAGGGTTTAGGGTTTAGGGTTTAGGGTTTAGGGTTCCCTTGTATCTGGCCCCCAAAAGGGTGCCCTTTATGAAGACATGGTTCCTGACCTAGCAAGGCACGCTGCTGCTCCTGCCGGCCTGCGCTATGTCGTGCTAATGAGAGACCCTCTTCAAGCCAGGGCCCAAGCCATGCAATTGTTTTTTAGGGTTCAGGGTTCAGCGTTCCGGGTTTAGGGTTTAGGGAGTTTAGGGTTTAGGGTTCAGGGTTTAGGGTTTAGGGTTTAGGGAGTTTAGGGTTTAGGGTTTAGGGTTTAGGGCTCATGCTACTGAGCCGCTCACGCACATCTCGCCGGCTCGGAGTCGGGTAGCTTATAAGCATTCTGTTACCTTAGATACAGGGTTTAGGGTTTAGGGTTTAGGGTTTAGGGTGGGTTTAGGGTTTAGGGTACAGGCACCGAGCTCCCTATTAACAACCAGCAAGACCCTGTGGCAGCCTTTACGATAGGGGTCGGAATAAATACGAAAAATATAGCGGTCGGAATAAGTACTAATAGTATTCCCTTATGGCCCCTTTGTATTTGCACTATAAATAACCCCCCAAAGCTCTATTCTAATTCTTAAGGCCCCGAAAGTAGTAAGCCCTTATGGTCTCTTTATGCTTATACTAGCATACCCCCCCCCCAAAAAAAAAGAATAAAAAAAAACAAACAAAACAAGACCCTATTCTAAATATTCAGGCCCCCATAGTACCCGCCCCCTGCTGTGATCTCAGGTGCTTCTGGCGCAGCACCGCCTGTTCTGCAATGGCACATGGGCACGCCTTGCAGGCTCCGCCGAGGATTTTCCAGTTTTCGCTATAAATGGCACGCGAACGGATCATGGAAATGGCAGATATGCTGTAGCGTTATTATAGAAGCCACAAATCTACGCGTATGCGAGTATCACTTGATGCAGCTTTCTGTGCCGCCACGTGCTATAAGGGGTCTTGCGTAAGAGTTCCCTGCGTGGACCTGTCAGAACCCACGGTGTTCTTGAACCACTGCAGCAACAGCCATGTCTCAGTGTGTTCAGCTGTGCCCCAATGGTCGCAAATGATGGTACTCAAGCTTCCATGAGACCCGCGGCAGGCATGAAGCCCGCTGACATGCCGGTGCCTCTCTATGCCGCTGCCATGTACGCGCGGGTGACGGCAAATGACACCGGCTTGCAAGCATTGACAGCACTTCTTGTCACGGAATGTTATGGCGCAGTTGCTAGCTCGCATGACTCGGATGACATGCCGTGATGATCTGGGAACTCCGTTGAATTGTCTGTGGTCTGACAGACTTGCAAACAGTTGCGGACCGATGAATCAGGATGTGTGGTACCACGTCTTGTCCTGGTATTCTTGCTGCTGGTCAGATCCACAGGCCACTGCCGTAGCCGTTCTGCGCAGCATGTTCTCTTCAGCTGTCTTCGTCATGACTTGAGACAAGTAGCTCGTACGGGAGCTACTGCAGACGCCTCTTTGTCAATGCCAGGTCGCATGGGTCACCTATGAGGACTGCCCGATTAAGCTCTCCATCATATCCGCCTCCCCTCACGATAACCTCAAGCATTGTTCATCCTATTTGTGACCATGGATTGCGGAGTCGGTTTCGTGACAGCCGCCTTGCCGCTTGAGGATTTGGTCGACGACTTGTCGGGACAGCAGCTTCTCAGAACTTGGTTCGGGCTTTAGGGGTCTAGATTCAGACCTTTGGGGTATGAGGCATTCTTGAGTTTACCATTCTCGCTGACGGATCTACTTTTATTCGAAGGAGACTCAGCAGAGCAGCGCTGAAGTGGGAGTTGCTGATATCATTGTGGGCTGTAAGAAGTTATCTCAGCTTTCATTTTGCCTTGCTGGCACTCGAGGATTCGGCGGCTCGCGCGGTTTCTTCTTCCAAACATGCCAGGCACGTTTCCAGTTCTTGTCTGAGCGACAGCGATGCGAGGACTTTGATTCTGAAGTTCTGAAGCACATGT